AACTCCAATACCTCTTCACTCAACACCAACACCTAACACCTTCACCTCATCCCCAACACCTCAACGCCATCACCTCAATGCCATCACCTCAACTCCAACACCTCTTCACTCAACACCAACACCTAACACCTTCACCTCAACACCAACAGCTTAATGCCATCACCTCAACACCAACACCTAGCATCTTTACCTTAACACCAACACCTAACACCATCATCTCAATGCCATCACCTAAACACCATCATCTCAACACCATCACCTCATCACCATCACCTCAACGCCATCAACTCTACACCATCACCTCAACTCAAACACCTCTTCACACAACACCTCAACACCATCACCACAACGTCATCACCTCATCGTCATCACCTCAACACCATCACCTAAACTCCAACACTTCAACACCATCACCTCAACATCATCCCCTCAACACCTTCACCTCAACGTCATCACCTCAACATCATCACCTCAACACCATCACCTCTTCACACAACACCTCAACACCATCACCTCAACACCATCACCTCAACGTCATCACCTCAACATCATCACCTCAACACCATCACCTCTTCACACAACACCTCAACACCATCACCTCAACACCATCACCTCAACGTCATCACCTCAACATCATCACCTCAACACCATCACCTCTTCACACAACACCTCAACACCATCACCTAAACTCCAACACCTCTTCACACATCACCTCAACACCATCACCTCAACGTCATCACCTCAACATCAGCACCTCAACACCATCACCTCTTCACACAACACCTCAACACCATCAACTCAACACCATCACCTCAACGTCATCACCTCAACACCATCACCTCAACGCCATCACCTCAACATCGACATCTCAACACCATCATCTCAACACCAACACCTCACCACCATCACCCAAACATCATTGCCATATCAGTGCTATCATCCCCTCATCACACAAAACCTTAAGACCATCACCTTTTCACACAAACACCTCAACATATTGCTAGACATCACAACCTAGTCTTGTTGGGGGGTGATTGCTAGACATCACAGCCTAGTCTTGTTGGGGGTGATTGCTAGACATCACACCGTAGTCTTGTTGGGGGGTGATTGCTACACATCACACCGTAGTCTTGTTGGGGGGTGATTGCTAGACATCACACCGTAGTCTTGTTTGGGGGGTGATTGCTAGACATCACAGCCTAGTCTTGTTGGGCCATGATTGCTAGACATCACACCGTAGTCTTGTTGGGGGGTGATTGCTAGACATCACACCCTAGTCTTGTTGGGGGGTGATTGCTAGACATCACAGCCTAGTCTTGTTGGGCCGTGATTGCTAGATATCACACCGTAGTCTTGTTGGGGGGTGATTGCTAGACATCACACCGTAGTCTTGTTTGGGGGGTGATTGCTAGACATCACACCGTAGTCTTGTTGGAGGGTGATTGCTAGATATCACACCGTAGTCTTGTTTGGGGGGTGATTGCTAGACATCACACCGTAGTCTTGTTGGGGGGTGATTGCTAGACATCACACCGTAGTCTTGTTTGGGGGTGATTGCTAGACATCACACCGTAGTCTTGTTTGGGGGGTGATTGCTACACATCACACCGTAGTCTTGTTGGGGGGTGATTGCTAGACATCACACCGTAGTCTTGTTTGGGGGGTGATTGCTAGACATCACACCGTAGTCTTGTTGGGGGTGATTGCTAGACATCACACCGTAGTCTTGTTGGGGGGTGATTGCCAGACATCACACCGTAGTCTTGTCTGGGGGGGTGATAGCTGGACATCACAGCGTAGTCTTGTTGGGGGGTGATTGCTAGACATCACAGCGTAGTCTTGTTGGAGGGTGATTGCTAGATTCCTCTCCATTGAAAACACTGATTGAATGAAACAGTTCACTCAGGAATGATATCTCCGATGTAATGAGAGACCAAGTGGGTTGGTTATACGTGGATAAATCTCATTGAAAACCCTGGGACCATAATTTTACAGTGCTTCCAATGGGAACATTCAGTCATGGACCTCAGTAAGGTTACCTTATGCATGTGCCAACGACCCTTTTTCCTTTTTCTAATCTGGTGGTAATAGTTGAAAGTTTTTTATCCCCCGCCGCGCGAAAGCGCGAAGCGGGGGATATAGTATTCACGACCGTCCGTACGTCCCACCTGTTTGTTGCCGCGATATCTCAAGAACTAAACTCTGGATTGTCTTCATATTTGGAACTATGGTGTATATACAGACTCCGCAGACACCAGTCGGTTTTGGTGACCTTGACCCCATTTTCAAGGTCACAGCAGGCATATCTGCTTTTGGAGTTGGAAAACGGTGTTGCCGCGATATCTCAAGAACTAAACACTGGATTGTCTTCATATTTGGAACTATGGTGTATATACAGACTCCGCAGACACCAGTCGGTTTTGGTGACCTTGATCCCATTTTCAAGGTCACAGCAGACAAATCTGCTTTTAAAGTTGGAAAACGGTGTTGCTGCGATATCTCAAGAACTAAACACTGGATTGTCTTCATATTTGGAACTATGGTGTATATACAGACTCCGCAGACACCAGTCGGTTTTGGTGACCTTGATCCCATTTTCAAGGTCACAGCAGACAAATCTGCTTTTAGAGTTGGAAAACGGTGTTGCCGCGATATCTCAAGAACTAAACACTGGATTGTCTTCATATTTGGAACTATGGTGTATATACAGACTCCGCAGACACCAGTCGGTTTTGGTGACCTTGATCCCATTTTCAAGGTCACAGCAGGCAAATCTGTTTTTGGAATTGGAAAACGGTGTTGCCGCGATATCTCAAGAACTAAACACTGGATTGTCTTCATATTTGGAACTATGGTGTATATACAGACACCGCAGACACCAGTCGGTTTTGGTGACCTTGACCCCATTGTCAAGGTCACAGCAGGCAAATCTGCTTTTGGAGTTAGAAAACGGTGTTGCCGCGATATCTCAAGAACTAATCGCTGGATTGTCTTCATATTTGGAACTATAGTGTATATACAGACACCGCATACACCTGTCAGATTTGGTGACCTTGACCCCATTTTCAAGGTCACAGCAGGCAAATCTGTTTTTGGAATTGGAAAACGGTGTTGCCACAATATCTCAAGAACTAATCGCTGGATTGTCTTCATATTTGGTACTATGGTGTACAGGCAGGGGATATTTCGTCACTCTGTGACAAATACTTGTCTGATTTGAAATGTCGGTGAGCAAACAAAGTTTTCTGAATAATGCAAAGATTAGACTGAGATGATGTTTCAGATATTTTCAAAGTACCCTTCCAGCACTTTATATAATGGTTGTTGAAATGGAATATAAGTATTTTTACTGGCTGTAGGGTCTTTTAGGAAAGGGATAGCTTTTCATGACTTGGAACATATTTCTTTTTGTGATGCGTCTTAGAGTCTAGTCTAGGTGTGTCTTTGGGTCTTGTCTTGGCAAGGGGGTGTATGTTTATTTGATGATAATGACTGGTCCTCGAGAACAGTTTCTAAGCCTGACATGGATATGTTGGAAAATAAACATGACACACACTCATCGTTAATTTGGCAAAATTAGTCATGACTAGAATGACTAGAATGAGTGTGTTGCCCTAGAGAGGAGCTGGCTAGGTTGTACGGTGTGGCCCAGTAACCCAGTGACATGTCTTGGAACAGTGAACCAGTGGAACCTGAGCCTGTCTGGACTCCACATGTGTGACAGTCTGTCCAGTGTAGGGTTACATATACATTACACTTGTGTGTAGCCTGGAGCCCTCACAGATAACCCATGTCTTGTGCTCACAGCCTGCTCACGCCATGTCTACTAGTGTTGATTATGCTTTTCTTTATAGTGAGTGAGTTTGGTTCAACACTGCTTTGAAGAGTATTTCATTGATATCTGCACAGCAAGTTGTGGTGCCTAAGACAGCTGGGCCACAAGTGACCCCTTTTTTGATAAGGCGTGATGATCTGTTCTTAAATTTGAGAATAATATGCACTGCGATTGTGGCTCTATGAATCCATGAAACTCAAATGAAGAATGCATGTTTGATTCAACTGATACAGCTCTGAAAAATACAACCAAATCTAGACAGTCCATAAAAGATTTTATTCACACAATCACAACATTTTGATTCAAACTTTTATCCACTTTTGTCATAAGCATATGTAAGCAATATAAGTTTCAATGCAAAACGATTTTCACCTGAAATATGAATCCAATGTCAGGTCAAATGTCAAAGCAACCCTTTGCAGTGAAAGCACAGTGTTGTGAAACAATTCCGAGGGTTGATATAAAATGTTAGCTAGATGGAGGTCATGCAATGAGAAAACATTGAGGATATATTAGGAAAGGGCTGGACTGAAGACAGAAACAAACGAACCAAAAAAAAAATAAGACAATATAATAAACATTATTAAGCGATTATTTATATATGATATGATTGACATAGATATTGAAAAAAAAGGGATATATTTAGTAAAGGAAGGGATGAGATATGAGAACATGAAATGGACACCAGAGACCATCTGGTCTCTATAGAAACAAATGAAGTCCTATGACTTAATGCAGGTGACAGCTGTTAGATGATCATGTATTCAGTGTGATAATAACAATGAATGATGCAGAAAGAGTAGGGCCTCAGAAAGAAACATGAGATGGTACCGACTTTCTAGTGTCCTTGAATGTCATTTAAACTTGGAACATCACCATCGCCAAACCCTCTTTCACTTTCTCCTTCCTGCTTTCTTTCCCTTTTCTCTTCTCGTCCTTCCATCTCTCTCTCTCTCTCTCTCTCTCTCTCTCTCTCTCTCTCTCTCTCTCTCAAAAAATGTAAACATGGTGGTCACCAGTGCCTCCCAGTATCTGTGACTGATGGACTTTACTATGATGCCTGCAAATTGGATCTGAAAATACTTTAACTACATATGCAAATTTATCTTAACATGACCAGGAATCTAATGTTGTGGATTTCTGACATGTATTTGTTTTATAACAGATGGAGAGTTTAAAAGATCCACAGTGCTGGCTGGATGCGGCTACTCAGATCTTCTATTCATTCGGCCTGGCATTCGGTGGCCTTATTGCCTTTTCCAGCTACAACCCCAGGAAGAACAACTGTGAGAAAGATGCAATTATTGTCTCCCTTTGCAACTGGTTCACTGCCATCTTTGCCTGCACAGTCATCTTCTCCATCCTGGGTTTCAAGGCCACCCTTATGTATGAGAACTGCATCAGCCAGTAAGTACTGTACCCCGAGATGTATGCCACTCCCTTTACAGAGGGTAGTTCAAAGGACAACATCACCTTGGAATGATCTTCAGAGATCAATATATTTTACGACTGCGAATAGTTACTAGGGCTGCAACGAATACACTGTGAGGCGAATACAATTCATATCATAACTATAGGGTAATGAATACGGATAATAATTCACGAATACAATAACAAGTCAGCAGCTGATGTATTATTTCTTATATTCAGTGAAACAATAACATAAATTATTTGACATGGTTGGTTTACTATTAATATTTTATACATTTAAATACTGCACTTATCCAGGTACTAGTATCTGCTAGAATGTGACAATGACCAGTGACAACAATACTGTCAAATTAAGTATTATAAGAGTGTTGTCTTTGAAGAAATCTATGCATATAATATGTTGTTCTTATGGATATTTGTAGGTACAGGGTATTTAAATGCACATGATTGCATATTCATAAATATTCGATTCTAGTGGTCACGAATAACGAATACAGTTCATGAATGGATATGGTTTTATTCGCCGAATACGCGAGTGAATCGTGACAGCCCTAATAGTTACTATGATACAATTGTTTACAGGTACATGAATAATATATCATCTAAGTAGGTACTTGTTCTAGGACAGTGGGGGTATAATAGAAAATCACTGTGGTGACTGCAATTATGTATTTGATGAGAATTTTTATGAAAATGGTCAAAATATAATTTTTGAATCTGTGTGACTTTTTGTCACAAATGTCGGTCAAGGGACAGAAGTTGTCAGGTTAATGTCTGAAGAGATTCTAAAGAGACTGGGCAGATGTGACGATGCCACACTCCTTGCATCCTGAGATAGGCAGAAGCCATGATTGAGAGAGCCGTGATGTAAGGAGCGTTTCATTGGTTGTGTCAGCTTTCCTGGTCACATGGTCTGCGTGTTGGCTAAGTAAGCCTACCCTGGGTAGGGAATCGGCAGTCGTCCTTTCACCAGCATCTGTTCACATTTCATCAGTTATTAGTTTACTTGTTTGGGATAATGTTCTTAGGTTAGTGTTAGATATGGCCCGGGGAGAATTAGCACAGGAGTAAATTAGGTTTGTTTTAGGACATGTTATTATGGGAGTTAGATGGGTGGTTGTAGTATATAAAGTTCAAGAGTTGGTGTATAAAAGTTGTAAGTAAGTAAGGAAGGGGGGAAAGTTGATAGGTCTATAAATTAAGTTGATGGAGGTTTGCCCCCTCTTGTGTTTGTTACAATAAACTTTAAATTAAAATTTGTGTTTATCTATGATTGGAGTTGATAGCCTGGTCAGGAGCATAATACGACATATAGACAAAAGAATACTGCACAGGGAGAAGAGAACACAAAGCAAAGCACCGCAGTTAAATATCAGACCTTTTGCCACCTATTTATTAGGTTCTACTGGGCACCTTTTATGGATGTTAGAGGGCACCTATTACAGTAGCAAACTTCTCAAAGCATATTCTATGAGATATACATGATATATAAAGTGAGAAGTATTTCATGAGCCAACAGACCAATCTTTGTGTTAAGATGATTGTAACCCCCATATTTGTCATAGACCTACAACAGTCGTACACTATGATCGCCTTGTGGAACACGGCCAAAGTCACTAGGAAAAGCACCACATGGTAGCCTACAAGAGAATTTGTAAGTGCAGTTATCATCAAGTAGCACATCAACAAAAGCCTAAAAATAAACAAAACATTAACATATATCACATCAGAACGTGAACAGCATGGTGATTTAGATGATAAAATATTGTAATTGTGATGTAAAATTGACATCCGATGCTTACCAATGACATAGCATGTTTGGCCTGACATAGTAAACAATACCTGACATGAATAGTTTGCCACAGGCTTTACAAAACAGTAGCAACTGAAAATAGGAAAATTATATTTTTTTGCAGCCAGTGCTATTTTACAACTATTGGTAGGTGAAATGAAAAAAAAAGATTTTATCACCACTGTTTTTGAGAAATAGTGAATAGCACATCTAAAAATATTTATTCCCACAAAAGAAAAAAATCTTTTATTTCAGTATCTTGTCATGTTAAAACTTGTTTCATTCATTAGTAGCAGTCCTAATATGGAACTTGACATTTTGTATTAGTTTATTATAGGTCCTTTGATAAATAACATTTGTCATCTTCATGCATGTTAAATGTAATTCGTTGAATTTGTAATATGCTAGGTACTTGAATACAGATGTCAATGATTTAAAATTATCAATTATTAATTGCAGTTTAATATATTGATATAGATTTATGGCCCTTTTAGGGTGTTATTTAAAACTTTTTTAAAACCCATTTTCATGGGTCAATTAAATTTTGAAATAATGTAATATGACCCCAAATTTTCATGAAATTTCATTTTGTCAACCTAAGATATTTCATGTGCTTCTCTCATTCAAACTTATAATTTGTTTTGTTAATTTACACTTTTTGAACATTCAATCCCATTCCAATAAAGTTTTTAATCTTACACAACATTCACATTCAGAATATGTGAATCACTAAGTTTGGCCCCTACAGTGTTGGCAAGTCAAGGTCACAATCCAGCCACATCGGAAACCACACGTTCTGCCATGACAGTGTGCCAGGTTGTATTTGTAGAGGCCAGTGGCAAATTACCATAGCCCCGACTTGGTGATCAATGTGAACGTGTCCCCCCCCTCCAGGGCATTGTATGGCACAATCTTGCCGGGGTTGTGTCTGATAACAAGTAACTTGTACAGGCAGTGTTGAAGAGGACATTCAACTCTTTGATATGTTGATGCTGTAGCATGCAGTGAGGAATTATGAGCTTGACGGGGACATTGAGACTTGATTTGTGTAACTTACTGAATGACAAAGAGTGCTGAATATGTTTTTGAAAGGTCTGTGGACCAAACAGGACTGGCAGTCGCCAACTCTGTGTGACGACATCTTTGTTCTTGGCATTCTTATCAAAGAAACATGGGTGCTCACATCAATTACATGGCTCTTAATAGACTGGGGTTCGGCACATTAATTTCATTATTTACAGTATAGTTTGCTGTAAGACGAAAATTATTTATTGTCCAGATTAACAGTTTTTCCTATTTCAATATGCGAGAGACAGGAAACAAGATGAGACAGAGAGTGTTGCTGGGTAATGCAAATCGGAACCAATATAAAAAACAGAAAATAGTAAAAATATAAGTTCCAGAAATATGTTTTGGAGTTTTTTAGTTAGTGTAGGCTCATCTATGAATCAAGAAAATCAACAAGTCTGACCTAATTTTCAAAATGTCTGGATTGAAATCTTCTTTTATAAGGCCAAATATTTTTTAACATGGCTTATTTGGCCAGCTGACCAAAGAATGTACCGTATTCGACGCAATAAGCGCCCAGGGTGCTCTCAAAATTTGAAATAGGGGGCTCTTATTAGAATATTATTTTGGTGAAAAAAAGACAGAGTTGAAAGATTGTAAATTTCGTGGTTTATGCTGACAGCCTGAAATGTTTATATACGACAGATATATTTTTCCAGAATTTTTAATTTCCCATAATTAAGGGTGCATATAACACACGACCTCGTGTTATAGACGAATAGATAAGTCTTGTGTACATTGATCAATCGGAAGGGGTGCTTATTGTGATTGTTCATTAGCTAATATATTAGCAAATATCGCTGTGGGCGCTTATTAGATAAAATAGAAGAAAAAAACAGAAGATTTTATCACAACTGTTTGTAAGATATGGTGAATAATATGTATAAAAATCTCTGTTCTTACACACAAAATTATCAATCAGTTATCTTTTGCATCAGTTTTTCATTGATTTGGAGCAGTGCTAATCTGGAAGTTGACATATGTGTATTATATTTTGGACCACATGCATTGAATTTTGGACCAAATTTTTGTAAGACCAAGTAATAAAAACTAAACACAGTATTTGTGCTGTTAAGTTTATACATCTCAGAATATGTCCCCAATACCTTATGTCTGTTTGTCTTTCTGATTAAAAATCTTTGTGTCATGAAATAATATTCATATTGATGACTGTGGCATTAAACAGAAATCACTCTCAAAATTTTAAGTACATTTTCCAAAGATTAATTTACACACAGCATGAACTTTCTTGATTTCTGTGGCAAAATGATTTTATTCCTTTTGATTAACAGCATTGCATCTGTTTGATTTTTACAGGAATATTGAATTGCTTCTTGAAATAAGCCCATTTAATCTGGAGTATAACGAGACGACACTGACGCAGTCGGTGTACCTGGAACAGTTTGCTGACAACATCGCTAACATCACCAACACCACAGAAAAACTCCGACATTGTCGCTTACAAGATGACCTCAATAAGGTAACAATCCATGGACAGATAAATGAATAAATGAAGGATGAAAGATGATTGTTTTTATTTATAGTTCAACTGACTGAAAGTCAAGTAGGCTTAAATTATGGTCTTATATTATCAACCGTCCTTTGTCTGTTGTTAACACCTTCTCTGAAACCTCTAAAACATTGATGCTGAAAACTAACGTGCTTACGAATGTTCCTTCCAGTGACGAATCCGCAGTTTAGTCATGAGGTGTTGATTCTATTTCAGTATGGCCGCCATTTGAAAAATGGCTTGTGGCTCTTACTCTTACATTCTTGTCCAAAATGTTATGAGATTTGGTTTATATGTAATTGGTAGTTGAAATAAAGGAACTAAATTGAACTAAAATTGAACTAAATGTTAATGTCATCTTCGAAGAATAACTGGACCAATGAAGCTGAGACTTAACACACTTGATCCCACAAATGATCACACCTTTGTTTGTTCCAGAGGTCTAAATCTGAGTTTCAACATGACCGACATGGAAGCCATACTGAAAACTGATTTATGTCTATCACCCAGCTATTTTTGCACAAAATTTAATGAATTTTGGTTAACGGTCATTTACTTATGGGGCTCCACACACATTCCGTCTTTTGGCATTATATTAAATTTTGCCAATACGCCTTAATTTTTTCAAATGTTTTCTTGGCACTGTGAAAAACATCTCCTGTGAAACTGCCAGACTGAGTGATTCTCATCGGTGATTCGGTTGAAAAATACACAATAAATATAACTTTAAAGAATTTTGATGCAGTGATCGGATGAATAGTATCTGAAACTATTATTTTTCAGATATAAAATATTTGACATCAATTTATTTTATTTGCAGCTTTTACTGTATATTTGTAAAATAGTTATCACCATAAGCATAGCACTTTGGAACAACTGATTGCTATTGCCGGATATATGTTTACGTATGGAACAACTTGATCACTCACAATTGAGGCCTCCCGCGTTCTTGCTACAGCAAATGTATGAACATAAAATGCAAATATCATAATTACAACCGACAAAATTTATATGTATAATATCAGGCAGTTACCTTGTTTCGAGGAATGTATCCGCAGATATCCACATAAAGGAACAATACCCCATACATCTGCACCTGTACAAAGAAACTTGTCTTTATAACAAACTAATATTTTAATAGCACACGTGACAACTGGGTTCATGATGTCCACGGTTCTTTAATAAATCCATAGGTTTAACCACTAGTCAATCCATAGAGAATAATCACGGTATTATCGGCTAATCCTTTGAACAAAGTATGTTGTTTTTACAATGGAACTTTACGCCCAGATGTGGGTGTATTCCATCTGCTTCAGTAAACCAACATAAATACATGATATAAACACTTGCTTTTGACAAATCCACTGTGCAAGATAACAGTGATTAATCAATCAACGTATTATCGGTTATACCTTACGGTTATATCGTTTTTTTGCAACTTTACTGATCATTTCTCTCTTGTTGCACTGCCACGTGCATATTACATAACATGTAATACATTCACCACATCAGATCTAGATATATAATCCAGTCATAGAATTATTATTATTATTATTACCTTGACACCCACATAGGCAGCGGTGAACGTTATTGTGATATTTTGTAGTCTTTGTCAGGTAATGTGAGTAGTTCTACCACTAATTATACTTGTAATAAAAGTCATTAACTGAGCATCAAGTTGAATGACAAATACACAGGTGGAGGGTAAAACAATGTTTCCCTTTTATTTGATTTATCAATATTTAAAAAATTCATTTTCAAAAGTTTTGGAATATTTTATTCTAAAAAATTACAAGGCTAGGAAAACTGAGGCTGTGTGTGAATGATAATGACTACAAGAAGATATGGTAGATGATTTTCTCAGAATCTGTAACACCAAATTTGCTGAAATTCAGCATCAGTGTTTGTCTTCATTATTAGGTTGAAGTCTTATAAAATGACCAAAAAGTAAGTTACTTTGAAAAAATAGTAAACCTTTGATAAAAAAAATATTGTAGGAAATTGAGAAGCTATGTTGAAAACATGTTGCCTCCCATGACATTTGTGTAGATGATTTCAGTTATTTTAATAGATTAGGTAATGCAACTGCTGATGACTTAAAGATCGCTGATTACTGTGGAGCTGTGTGCTGATGGTTATAATATGCCTGTTCTGTTCATCAAGGGAGCTGAAGGAACCGGACTGGCCTTCATCATCTTCACTCAAGCCATCAATGAATTTGGACCTTCAGCGCCGTTCTGGTCCATTGTTTTCTTTCTCATGCTCCTGTCTTTGGGCCTGGGCAGTGAGTTTGGCACTATTGAAGGTGTTTCCACATCACTTCATGACCTTCAACTTTACCCTTGGATGAAGAAAAAATGGCTTCTTTCAGGTATGTGTCTGTTCCATGTAGTGTTCTGGGTGGTAAAACTGTCATACACTGGAAGGTCTGCTGCTGACATTTGTCAGCTGGTTGTTAACAATATTTGATTTGATTTGATTTGATCAAACCCACCTAATATATAAAGAACCCAACTCTGCATAGCAAATCAAGGCACTCTTGACAAATGAATACATGTCTCCATGAAGAATATCACCATGGATAGACCAACATTGACCGTTGGTGGTGATGAACAGAAGCACCGAGGACACAGCTGCACCACAGGTGACGACATGGTTCCGGCAATTAATTGAATAAAAATACTTATGGTAGCAGATGGTTCATACTGTGTAGAATTTTGATCATGTACAAAAATGGTTATTTAATTAAACAAAAACATATGTTTTGAATATTCAGTTCTAAAATATGACTTAAGTTTCATCAATACATATGGTGATTGATGTTATCAACGTGATCAATTACCATTGTGTCTCTATTCAATTGTTCTAACATTAGTTGTATCGGGTTTTCGTAGTTCGGGGTTCAACTGACTTGTTTGTGTCTCTAGATAAATGTTCATTGTCTGGATTGGATTTTGAGGCCAGTGACAAACATGCAGCCAGAGTATTAGTTGCGAGTTTGATACAACAATAATTGCTTTGAATGTTAACATTTTTAGCCATTTGCCATTGTGTTGTATAGTCCGTTTGCTGCAAAATCGTACCGATGAAATGCAATATAGATAAATCAGAAAACAACAATTCATCTAAAATGGCATGAAAGTTTTTTATTTGTCCATATCAACTCATCAACATAATTTCAGACAATGTCGTAAAGGAGAGTAAATATTAAACTCTCATATAATTGTTGGTGTTTCAATGCCTGTTGTTAAAGGGGACATTTAAGTGCACCCCCTCTGACTTGCAATCATCAGGAACATGAAATACCAAGGTTTTCAAATCACCTGTGAATATCATTCATGTACTGTATTGTAATGATATGTTGAAAAACATTCTGTTTGTTTTATTATTTGAAATTAGTTGAACAGCTATACCAAGAACATCACTAACGTTGCTTTGAGAATATGTCACAGATTCTCATTGTATATTCCATTTAATAACTACTACAGAAAGATACGCTTCTGATTTAGACTTTTCATTTGAGATATTTTATTACAGAAAAGACAGTAGTGGGTTAGCCAACCATGTGCGAATGCAGGGCTGTTCAGTTTACAGTGAAGACAACCTTGTAACAACAGGCATTAATACACCAACAATTACATGAGAGTTTGTTAAACAACTTTTTCTCTACTTCATGACAATATCATCCCAGTTCGCCCCGATTATGTTTCTAGGTTTGTCAGCACCATACCCTCGCTCGTGGGTTTCACCGAAGTGGTAAACGTCTGAGACCTGCATCACTTCGGGCTTTCCTCCCACATTAAGCTGGCACGCCGCGATATAACTGGAATACTGTTAAAAGCGGCGTTAAACCGAACTCACTCACTCACTCACTCATGACAATATCTGAAATTATTGTGACGAGTTGGTATGGACGAATAGACAACTTTCAACTTTCCATTTAAGACGAATTGTTGCTTTTTGATTTTTATCCATTTATGATATTGCAACACATGGACTATATTGTGAACCATTCATAGTCTTCTGAAATTCTTTTAGCGTTTTCAGCTGTGTATTTGCCACGACTACATTTACTTCCACAGATATGCTAATTAGGATGAGACTGTAGGCTACCTAGAACATGTACCCGTGTGTACAAGCCAACCTGACACATGGAATGTACAAAATGTGATAGAGAACTACATTACATGCCAAGCTTGCAACACCCAAACTTGTTATTACCCCAGCATGTTACTGTGTTGTGACTCACAGACTGTCGTCTCCTCTCTACAGCCGTGTTATGTGGTACCAGCTGCGTCACGGGGATCCTGTTTGTCCTTGGGAGCGGCTCCTACTGGGTGGCGCTGTTCGACACCTTCGCTGGCTCCTTCCCCCTCATCCTGGTGGCTCTAGCGGAGACCATCGGAGTAGCCTATGTCTATGGACTCAACAGGTACCAGCTCCCCCTGCTGGAGTTCTAGCTATGTATTTAAAAAAATCATTTTCAAAAGTTTTGGAATATTTTATTCTAAAAAATTACAAGGCTAGGAAAACTGAGGCTGTGTGTGAATGATAATGACTACAAGAAGATATGGTAGATGATTTTCTCTATTTTCTCAGAATCTGTAACACCAAATTTGCTGAAATTCAGCATCAGTGTTTGTCATATGATTGGCCAGTCACATTCTCAGAAAAACCCAAACAAGTTAGCTGGGAGGGCTGTATAGGTATTATGACTTCCTTATAGGGCTGCAATGATACAGGAAGGTCACAATAAGAAGACTACTGAAGTTCTTAAGCTTCAAAGTGGAACTTCCTCTAACTTTCCTTCAAAACACTTCAAATTTCAAAACAGCAGAAAACTTCAAAGTTGAAACACCAGAAAATAATCAGTGTACTTCACGTCTGTATCGTTCAACTTTTTCAGAATCTTTTTTGTCAGGAGACGGTGATGCCCTCTGGGTACTGACAATGTCTCCTGCTGTTGTTTGTTTATTTGTTGTTTAACGCTGCACTCAGCAATATTCCAACTATATGATGGCGGTCTGTAAATAATCGAGTCTGGACTAGACAATCCAGTGATTGATGTCATGAGCATCGATCCACGCAATTGGGATTGCGATGACATGCAATTGGGATGACATGCATCAACCAAATCAATGAACCTGACCACCCGATCCCGTTGGTCCTGCTTTTGAGTCTTAACAGAGGTGGAGTCATAGGGGGTAGATGACCAACACAACAATCAGTGCTTTTTCCACCTAACACCATCTACAATGTATGTTTCAGAGTTTGAAAAATAATTAGAATAGTAGTTGTTTATGATTCATAGTGTACAAAAATATTTATTAAATATTATGCGCTTTAAAAAACCCACATCGTATCCCTTCCATGAATTCAGGTGAACGAACAGGTATAACAAACTTTGCCCTTAAAAATATGAAATTTGAAATGAATCATTTCTAGACACTATAATTTACCTTTAAAATTATATTTCCTGCACTTATAAGCACTGATTTATATGCGGAGAGTAAGGTTACCGTGTGTATTTTCTCGTAACCTAAGCCGGAAATAGCAATCAGCTGTACACCCGTTTTCTGCCAATCTACTGGTGATTCTGTTACAAAATGCCCAATGATACAACTTCAAAGCATTTTGATGCAATAGTCGGAAGAAATTTTATCTGAAATTATTGTTCAATCAGGAATAATATATTCCAATATCGTTTTACTTTAGTTGCAACTTTTACTCTATATATTTAATGTTATAATAACCATTAGTGTAGCACTTGGTACAGGTGATTGCTATTGCTGGATATTTTTATGTATGGAACAATTTGACCTGTCACCATAGGGACTTCCCGCACTACATGTATTTCGAAAATATTATGTTGACATATGATAGTCAAATTGCTTCAAATATTTCTTTTGATGTGTCAAAGTACGCCATTTATAATTTATGTATCCATTCTCTGGCAACTAAAGTTTGTTTCAAGGCGTCAATAGCTGTAATCTGACCATGGTTGCTGTGCCAACCACTGATCACTTCAAACACGATTTCGCCAAAATTAATGTAAACAATATTGAATGAAATTTTGACTAAAATTAATAAAATATAATACAAACATAAGTTCAGATATACAATGAACACGTTTTTGTAACCAGATAGTATAATAATGGGATTGAATTGAGTACCATTCTGGTGAAACCATGGTGATGCAGATGGTTGATGTCTACCACTCTGGTGAAACCATGGTGATGCAGATGGTTGATGTCTACCACTCTGGTGAAACCATGGTGATGCAGGTGGTTGATGTCTACCATTCTGGTGAAACCATGGTGATGCAGATGGTTGATGTCTACCACTCTGGTGAAACCATGGTGATGCAGATGGTTGATGTCTACCACTCTGGTAAAACCATAATGATGCAGATGGTTGATGTCTACCACTCTGGTGAAACCATGGTGATGCAGATGGTTGATGTCTACCACTCTGGTGAAACCATGGTGATGCAGATGGTTGATGTCTACCACTCTGGTGAAACCATAATGATGCAGATGGTTGATGTCTACCACTCTGGTGAAACCATGGTGATGCAGATGGTTGATGTCTACCACTCTGGTGAAACCATGGTGATGCAGATGGTTGATGTCTACCACTCTGGTGAAACCATGGTGATGCAGGTGGTTTATGTCTACCATTCTGGTGAAACCATGGTGATGCAGATGGTTGATGTCTACCACTCTGATGAAACCATGGTGATGCAGGTGGTTGATGTCTACCACTCTGGTGAAACCATGGTGATGCAGATGGTTGATGTCTACCATTCTGGTGAAACCATGGTGATGCAGATGGTTGATGTCTACCACTCTGGTGAAACCATGGTGATGGCTTGGCACTTGAGTTTAACTTATAATCACAAAGTTTTCCCGGTAAGTCTCAACATTGACTGTTATCGAGACAAGGAGTTCATTAATGTCATTAATCTTGCACGATTTCTCTATTTATTCACGGTATTTACAATAAACAGCAAGAACAGACTCCCCAGTGAGAGAGACAAACACATGTGTATACAATGTCCCTGTTTGCACAATATTGCTTCAAACATCTATGCAAGGTTGGAGATGTATTGTGTACATGTATTGCATAAAGTATATTATTGTGTGTGATGGCTGGTACTAGTTCCTACTGTTGGTGATTGCAGGTTCTGTGCTGACATAGAGTTCATGATAGGACACAGGCCCAACATCTGCTGGCGGATCGTGTGGAAGGTGGTGGCGCCCCTACTCATCATCACCCTCCTTATCTCCACCCTCATCAGCAAGTTCAGCAAGCCACTCACATACAAGCCTTATGACAAGGACAATGTAAGAGGGCGGGAAATGTGTACTCAAGCCACTACACTCATACTCACCAGTAACAGTGATCATATCAGTTTACATGCATCTTACCTAAGAACCAGTTTTGGTGATATGATGACATGCCATGCCAGTAAAGCAAAACTTTTATTTTTGTAATGATAATTTTACAGCAGAAATCATCTGGGACTGATGGAATCTGTTTCAGCTAATAATCTAGACTGATTATTGTCTAGCATTGAGGTTTTCTATTTGTACTACTGACTAACTTGAACAGCACTAACTCCCTGTATGACACACCTTGGTAGGGGGCACGGGTGGCCCAGTCGTCTAAGGCGCCGCGATTCGTTGTGCAGAGCTGCGTCCCTTGGGCACACCAGAAACCTATGAGTGTGGGTTCGAATCACGATTCGCCCCGATTATGTTTCTAGGTTTGTCAACACCATACCCGTGCTCGTAGGTTTCACCGAAGTGGTAAATGTCTGTGACCTGCATCACTTCGTGCTTTCCTCCCACATTAAGCTGACATACTGTGCTATAACTGGAATACTGTTAAAAGCGGTGTTAAACCCAACTCACTCACTCACTATGGGGACACAAGTCCAACTAATCACAACTCAACAGATGTGGCCCATTACCGGGGATGTCAGTCAAGTGAGTGAGTGTCTGCTGAAGAATGGTTGTTTGTAAAGGATCAAATCCACAGCAAGTCAGGTCCCATATTACGATTACCCATTTGTCATTTGACAGCTCTTACAACGAGCATGAGCTACTGAAGATCTTTTTTTACCCAGATTTTGATTGAGGGCCATTAATTGATCTTGATAACTGTCATGAAATAAGAAAGTTAAAACCACTTTTTAAATGGCCTTTGTTATATTTGTTATTGCAGGGCGAGCTGGCTATTACAGAAGTACCCTATCCATGGTATGCCACCATTGTCTGTGCCTTCCTCGTGCTCTCCTCCATTCTGTGGATGCCCGCCATTGCAATACTACGCCGGTTTGGATGTCTGTCATACAATGTGGCGAAGGCAGCGCGAGCCGACACACGTGGCGTGACCAGCTCTACTATGAAGTTCGTCAGAAGCAACGCCACAATAGAGGACAACGACTCTGGACACAACTCGGATGAAGGGGCGGGTCATGATGAGATCCTGTACGTCGGGAAGTCATCTGGGGAACAGATCCTACAGGAATTCAAAGCTAGAGATTCAGAAGTATAATTCCTATATATACATCCATTAGTTCTAGTATACGTACTGTTTCCTGATGGTTGTTGAAGAGTTGTTTGTGTTGCTGATTTGTTGTCCTGATAATACCTGCGTAAAAGCACTGCTGAAAATATGTGCCTTTAAATTTATGCATCATCGGTACTTCACAGGCTTGTATACCCTGTGTTCCTCCATCGCCTGTGAGGACATATGGACACTATAGTGTGGTAGTGATGCTTGTCTGTTGTTAGTTAGCTAATGAACTGAAGCTGTTTTAGCAATTATTTTCACCCCGGTTTCAAACCCCTCGGAACATTACATAGCAATCACCATGTGTGTCTGTCAATTTTCCATTTCTGGAGCAGGACTCCTAAACAATTAAATATTTCTTGTTGAAACTTTCTATGTAGATCAGTCTCGAGGGGAACGGGTGCCTTTTTATGATTGGGGATTTCGAAAATACTGAACAGCATTATTTTTTTCTTCACTGAATTGAAGGTATGCAATGAACCAAAAGTGGGGTATAAGTAGCCAAACTCTGTTTCTGAATTGCACCAGCCTGATATGTCATCTCCTCATTACTCTTATTTTTTAATCACGGATTGTTTTGTCAAAGTCAGAGGAGGGAATAATATGTTTGAGAAGCTGACATCAGCTTCTTCTTGTTTAAACTGGATCCCAGAATGTTATTTTACAAATATTACCTGTAGGAGGGAGAAAAAACAAGAGAAAATTAAAAGAATTTGCCTGACGTAAAAGCAGAAAGTCACATGGCTATGTCACATGTTGAAGAATTGTGGAACTAGAAACATTACCATTAGTGTCATGCTAGCTGAGCCCGCGTTGGTTCCCTCTCCCTGGAACCAGGCCTCAGCTGGATTAAGTGGATAAGCATCATGTCTGCCCTGCATACTGGCCCTATGTATACACATGCGATGGAGGAAGTGATACTCACAAACCTGTGAAGAATGGATGATGAGTTTTATGTGAATGATATATTTTAAAATGCCTTGATGAAAGGATGACTGACGATGATATTGATGTTATTGTTAGTGTATGTGGAATATCATCAGTATTAGATATATAGTTGACGATTTAGATTAGATCTTTGTTTGAAAATATAGATTTGCTAGATTAGCCAAAATAAAAGTAATGTGTGAAATAATCTGTATTTAGGCCTATATGCTGCAGTAGAAGTACTAGTGGTAGTATTATAAATATTGGTTAAGTGTGAACAGATATGTCTATTTGTACCCACTGAAGTAGTTGGTAGTTGTAGGGAAGTATCTCCCTTGAGATTATTCTGATGGCATGTGACATAACTTGTAATGTCAGGCCTGTGTTGATGAGAGATGCATGCTATGTGATTTATAGAAAGGGATATGAAGCACTCAACCATAAGTATTGGTTTACCAGTAAAAGGGTACAACCCATCTTCCCGAGGCAAGGGAGATAACTGACTATGAAAGTCCTGTTTCCACCCTTACTGAACATGACTGGAATTCCAGAGTTACAGTTTGGCTGGACTAACGAGTCTATGCATAGTCCAATCAAAATCACATAACGAACTAGACATCCAGTTCGTAAACAACATGGATTTCAATGGGCAGATTTTGGTCGACTGCAGGATTTTCAAAGCATGTCTACCGTTGACAAATGTTTTCCAAATCTTTTCATGTTTTAATCAAAGTGCTCAAGTAATTCGATGCACTTCGTGAGGCAAGACCTGTTTTTTTACAATATATATCTTGATTATCGACCAGATCGTCTAGACTGGCAGCCACTATATTGTTTGAAGCACAAATGATATGACAGGTGGAATCAGATTGGTCATAAGGAGGGACATTCAAGGGGCTTAACTCATAATGCGCTCTGGTGGTGCTATGATTGAACCAAGAATTTCAAGCCTAGTTCGGCAAGGGTGGAAACTGGATTTTTATAGTCGGTAAACGCCCTTGCCTCGAGAAGATGGGTACAACTGTGAACTACATGTAGATGAATATCTGCAGATGATATCTTTAGAGGATGCTCAAATATAGTTCAGGCTGTTCTTTAACTATAGGAACTTGTCACATTCAGAATGAACACAGACGTCAGAACTGAGCAGTCTTGCATCCTGATCTAGGAAGAGTTGCCCCCCTTTTCTGTACTGGTCAGTTTTTGAAAGGCAATGTATAACTTATTTCTAACTTCTCCACTGCCACCCTACAGTTGGTTTCATTAGTTGTTCCCATCCAACTTACTGCCATTTCTAACAGTATTTAATCATGACCAAACTATGGAATAGTATCTAAAGATACTAACATTGTTTTCAGATATGATGCGTAGTACAGTTCATCTCGATATACACAAGACCCTGGCTAGGAGAACATTACTGATCTCCTGTTAAGTGTTTAACTTTGACCTTGAGGTCTGTGCTTCTATCAATCCATCAATTCCACCAATCCATCATTAATTGCTTTTCCAGGCAGAATTGAAACAAACATTCAAAACTTTTAAATTAAATTTCAAATTTGCATACTGATCAACCAATTTGTGTTGTGGAGTCTGTTATTTGTTGTTTCTATGGAAACAAGTTGTAATGTTCCCATGTAGGACAGTCCTGGTTATATAATCCCCCTGACAAGCCACATGTTCCTGTGTGAGATGCAGATAACAATATGTCCTCGTGGTGTCAGTGGGATTCATATGTCTTCCAGTCCTACTTTCCAAATCTCTTCTTCTTACTAAAATTGGTTCATGTGATGCAAGGGACACCATCTTAGAGGATTATGATTAGAATCCTTGTCAAAAAGGTAGTAAGAATATACATATTTACATAGCTGTGAGGAGTTTTGTGCCATGACAGTATGCCTGGGTGTGTAGATTTAGAGTTTGTGGCTTCATTTAGAGACTGTATGGCATAGATCCCAAAGACTGAATCATGAATGTAAATTTTTAATAATGTAAATAGTTTGAGTAATATTGTACAGTGATAGAGTTTATAATATTATAAACTTATATAATTCAGATGTATATTTCTATATCAACTCTATATGTGCTATAACAAGTGCTACAGATATATACAAATCTATATTTTCTTATACCGGTTATTGACCCATACACACTGTATCCAGCCACTCTGGTTGCCATAGAAACTCTGCATTATTGTCCTGCAGTCCAGGTAGAGTATCTCACTGCAATCAAATTACACTCCAGATTCTAGCCCATGTTCAGCCTCTGTACCACTATTTCAGGTACATGCTCTTGTTTGTCCTCATCTTGTGTTTCCCCAGTCTCACTAAGCAGACACTGCAGGTAGTAATTTAAACAGTCTTCACCTTGCTGGTTTAAATATTGTTAATTGATTTTAGTGTTTCATTTTTATTTACATACTGCCAAAGATAGTTTCCATGGCAACTGATGCTGACACCTTGGTCTATGTCCGTCCCTGCAGCATTATCTGCTGAATCTGTCAGCTGGGTTGCCTACCCCCCTCAGTTTGTCCATCTTAGCGCTACAATCATCATTCGTGTGTTACAGTATGGGAGTCTTAGCCCCTCAACAGTTGTAGCACTATGATGTAACTCTACATTAACCTTCGATAGTCTCACCAGTATGATTTCACTCTGCATAAGCCCTCAATAGTAGTAGCTCTATGATATCACTGTGTTTAGACCCTCAATAGTCGCAGCACTGTGATATCACTCTGCATAGGCCCTCAATAGTAATAGTTCTATGATATCACTGTGTTTAGACCCTCAATAGTCCCAGCATTATATCACTCTGCATAGGCCCTCAATAGTAATAGTTCTATGATATCATTGTGTTTAGACCCTCAATAGTCGCAGCACTGTGATATCACTCTGCATAGGCCCTCAATAGTAATAGCTCTATGATATCACTGTGTTTAGACCCTCAGTAGTCGTAGCACTGTGATATCACTGTGTGTCAACCAAAAATAGTTGCAGCACTATGATATCATGGTGTGCAGACTCTCGATATTTGCAGCAATATGATATCATGGTGTGCAGACTCTCAATATTTGCAGCACTATGATATGGTGTGTAGACCCTCGATATTCGCAGCACTATGATATCATGGTGTGTAGACCCTCGATATTCGCAGCACTGTGATATCATGGTGTGCAGACTCTCAATATTTGCAGCACTATGATATCATGGTGTGCAGACTCTCGATATTCGCAGCACTATGATATCATGGTGTGCAGACTCTCGATATTTGCAGCACTATGATACCATGGTGTGTAGACCCTCGATATTCGCAGCACTATGATATCATGGTGTGCAGACTCTCGATATTTACAGCACTATGATATCATGGTGTGCAGACTCTCGATATTCGCAGCACTATGATATCATGGTGTGTAGACCCTCGATATTCGCAGCACTATGATATCATGGTGTGTAGACCCTCGATAGTTGTAACACTATGGTATCCTGTTGTTGGACCCTCCAGTATCTTAGCACTGTGATACCACTGTGCTGGACCTTCAATAGTTGTAGCACAATAATATCACTGTGCATAGACCGTTGGTTTAGATGCTATGATATTGCCATGGGGATAAGGTCCCTGATCTGTTTGGTGAACTACCTCATCTCCAGATGCTGGGGTAGAGATTTTTGTAATATATACTTGTTCCACCTTGGCATTAGGGTGTTCACAAAGATTCGTCCAACCATCCTGACACTGGTATCTTGTATCTTTTTCCAAGTTTACAGTACTTATGTTTTCGTTCATATGTTCAGACTGGCTATTTGATAATGAAAGCTTGTTAACAAATCCTGTGTGAACATAAGCTCCCCCAGCCCAACTTCTTGACCAACCTGCAATTCATCTTTTGTAAGCACCTGTTACTAAGTCCGAAAGTTTACATGACAGTCCATGTTTTCTTGTAAATGATGCACATTTTTTACAGAAGTTCATACAATATATACGCATACATTGAGTTTTGACTATTTTCCCCAAAGCGAAAAAATTTCCATCAGCTAGTTAACCCTGGAAAATACAATTAAAGCTGTCAATTACCTTGTTTAGGAGCCAATGATGGGAAATGTGTTTTGTTTCATGGACATTTTAACTAAGTTTGTTCTTTCCAGCTCGATCTCTGACGTTAAAGCTAACTTGTGTCTAGTTTATATATCGCCCCTTCCTTATCAATATTCTAAGCTTCCAGGCCACTTACAGCGTCCAGTGTTTAAAGTTTGATATCATGTGAAATATAGTGGCAGGAAGAACACTGACACAAGCTTACTTAGCTGCCGTTATGCTTGGATGATTACAATGCCATTAATAGGATGATCAGTACTTGATACATGTTTGTATACACTACATCTCCATCACCCATCATGTCTGTTCTATGGCAGCTAGTGATAGAAGGCCATGTACAACTCACAGCAGTCTAATGAGCCTACGTCTTGTGCATGAACTGTGTGCAAACCCTACCGTTTCCTGACAATAAAGCAATACGAAGCATGGAGGCCGCAAGATGATAGCATGTATGTTTTAAGAGAAATATTGCTGATGATTTGAGCCCTCATTGGTCTGAGCAATGGTTTCCCTCTCTAAGGTTTCTCTCTCACTGGTTTCCCTCTTGCTGGAACCAGGGCCCTGTTCCACAAAGTGATTGTAGCGCTAAGATGATTGAAACTCCAATACTTTATCACAGGCTTACGACAGTGTTAGCGCTATGAACACTTTGTGGAACGGGGCTCAGGCCTGTAGCAGCCTTATGCATTCACGGGGGATGGAGGACCACAGTGTATACAAAGCTGTCATGTGCGGATGATGGTGTATGTTCAACTCTTAGACCTGACGATGTATTGTTACATAAACTATTTCAAGTAAGTTTGAAGGAAGGTTTGTATTTTGTAGTCCAGAAAATGCCCTGTCATGGTGCACACAGAAAGTGATGGTGAAACAAGTCATTGTGTTTCTTACGTCAAAGATGACAAGAGATCGAGTAGGATGCTGACACCAAAGATTTCAACATTAAATGCAGTGTTTTTTCTTGATTGTGTGATCAATGAAATAGCAGTGGGGTTTTTTTCCACTGGAAGTATTCATTTTGTTGTTTTTTTATATAAACATTTGTTTCAAAAAGAAACCAGGTTGTTGTGACAAAGGAAAATTTGAGACTGTATTTTCATTGATCAAGTATATTAAAGATTATTTTAGTTGGTTTTAGCTTTTTTGTCATGCATGAAGATTGTGATATTTGCATTAATTTCATCTCCTGGTCTATGATGTGATCTGTTTGTTTATCTGTCCATCATTTTATTCATGCTGTTTGTAAAATTCAAATCCGTTAAATATTTTTATTGCCTTTTACTGTTTACAGATGTTTTAATCTATTTTCATGGCACCGAGTGTAGAGTGAAGGGTTTGTTTCCGGATTAAAATGAAAAGTTGTTACCTGTGCCATGCATCAGCATAGTGGTGAAGTGTTTTTTATGACTTGGTGAATTTGAAATTCACCTTTTATGAAAATAAATAAAATGAATTGTAGTTTGAGTCAGATTCCCAAATAAATTTCATCACTAGTATCACAAAACAAACTTTCTTGACAAAAACTGCTGAGGGGATAAATCATCATGTAACATTGTAAATATGGTTTGTTGAAGTATTGAATTGTGGATTGTTTGTGATTTTAGAGTGAAAAGAAACTGTGTTATAAGCATTTTCTCTGTATCAGCACAAAGAAAAAGCAAAACTGAAAATGAGTTTATAAGGTATGTCCTGTTATGTGTTCCAAGGAAAAAAGTATTGTGGAGGTTCAGCGAGAAATTGTGTTAATTGACAAAACTACATTTGTCTGAAGGCATGAAACATCTTTATTGTTTGTAACAACACTTCGGCTTCCTTGCCCACATACACACACATATCCCCCAAGGTCCATGGTGGTCTGAGTGGGAGGGAGCCTCACCACTGGCATGTAGGACGTGTCTCTTGTTGAAGGTGATGGAAGACATTTCTCAGCTACATGTTTGTGATAGCCATTAAAAGGTGTGTTTAAGTTCCTAGATTTCTTAGCTGTGACTGTCAATATTGCAGAAGACTATGGGTACGGATGGCAATTATTAAGTCAATACACTTATTCAGTATTCATCCGATGAAGGGGCAAGATGTACCCCTGAAACGTTGTTACAAAGAATAAAGAGGTTGTTAGCCATCAAGTTTCATCTCATGTTGACAACTTCCAAATGCCTATCAAATACAACAATTATCTGTAAGCATGGTAAGACAAATGTAGACATTTCTCCAGCTTCATATATTTAATAAATATTATTTCACTTAGACTTTGTTTGCAAAGGCATGGACAAAATGGAAAAATATGTGTTATCCATGTAAGTTATATGAATATTTACAATACCTCACCATTATCTGTTTTAATGATATAACCTTATACTGTCTTCCATATTTAATGTAGTCCACATTTTAGAACAGTTGCTATGACCACATCGCCAGAGGTGGGGTAGGAGCAAAGTAACCTGAAGATCATGTGGGAGTTTACCCTAGTTTTCTGGGTGGCCATATTTGTAGATATTCAAGCTGTGTATTTCTGTAATTCTGTACTGCTGCAGTCAGATCAGCATGGCAATGTGTTTTAACAGTACCATGTTTTTACATATTCATGACTGTCATTTTGAATGGACTGGGTCAGCAGGTCTGTAAACCAAGTAATTACAAAAGAACACCCTACATTTGTGAATGTGTATTGTGGAACTTCATTAATCTCGAGCGTTTAATTAAATACTACCCCAAAACCTCTTTCAAATTACTATAGTGAAACTGCCATGGCAGATTAACTATATTACTATAGTAAGAATCGAGGGGTCCTTAACCTTTTTAAGGTAGTATATCTAGAAGTTCCTGCAGGTAATGGCTTTTCCCGCTAGACAGGTTTCAGACTGATGAGGTTTCACTCTGTGCAGATTATTCATATGTGTACATTCTTGGATGTTACACAACACTTTCAGAATCTACAAAAGTTGGTGATTTACAAAAAGAAGGATTGAATTTGAATAGCTGAATGTTTGAAATTCATTTGAAATCTGCTAAACTAAATGCTGCTTACTTCACCAAGTCCCTTCTAAAACCAATTTGGTGTATTTATATGTGCCAATTAAATGTGAATTAAGGTGTTAGAGTCAAACATCTGTTACAAACTTCTTTTTCAAGTAAAATCAACTAACCACTACTATTTGTATGGAACATTTTTGGAGCCATCATTCGGTTTTCCCACTATGACGAAACTCTACAATAGCAGCAGCATCCTTATGTATGTATTTAAATGTATTTGTTGGACTTATTTTTAATTGTTATATAATCCAGCTGAGCTGATGGGAGAGTTCTGTCAGTTTACACAGGCCGTTCAGCTTCATCTTGCCAACATTGCAGCGTATCACAAGATATTTACTTGTTTTTCACACTTCTCTTGAAGCTCTACCCTGCAATCTCCACCCTTCTCTCCTAGCCCTACCCTGCAGTCTCCACCCTTCTCTCCTAGCCCTACCCTGCAGTCTCCACCCTTCTCTCCTAGCCCTACCCTGCAGTCTCCACTTTTCTCTCCCAGCCCTACCCTGCAGTCTCCAACCTTCTCTCCTAGCCCTACCCTGCAGTCTCCACCCTTCTCTCCTAGCCCTACCCTGCAGTCTCCACCCTTCTCTCCTAGCCCTACCCTGCAGTCTCCACTTTTCTCTCCCAGCCCTACCCTGCAGTCTCCACCCTTCTCTCCTAGCCCTACCCTGCAGTCTCCACCCTTCTCTCCTAGCCCTACCCTGCAGTCTCCACTTTTGTCTCCCAGCCCTACCCTGCAGACTCCACCCTTCTCCCCCAGCCCTACCCTGCAATCTCCACCCTTTTCTACCCTTCAATCTCCACCAGCCCTACCCTTCTCTACCCTTCAATCTCCACCCTTCTCTACCAGCTCTACCCTTCAATCTCCACCCTTCTGTCACATGTTCACTCTTATAATCTCCACCTTTCTCTCCCTGGCAGTTTTGCATCAAAGTATGGATCTTGAGACATTTTGAGTTTAAAACTGACCAAAATGTTATGAAGCCTTATTTCTTTTCATGTTTTTCTGAAGTCCAGAGAACAAGAAATATGACAACAGTTGCAATGAGCACAAGGTGTGGCCTTGAACAGTCTTTGTTGTTGAAAAGCATTAATGGAATTTGATGACAGTTATCAAACCTGATTTCTGAATGTCAGCTTTTAGCTCTGGATATCTCTCTTCAAATTCCAACCTGACTTGTAAAGCTTATGATTCAAAGAATAAATTGCATTCATTGTGTCTGCAGTCACTGTTCTGTGGTTTTTCAATGGTTTTATTTTTACTTTTGAATTTATACATTAGCAGTGGACCTGTGAAGATTCCGGGGTTGAATAGGTCTTCAGCAACCCATGCTTGCCGTGAAAGGTGACTATGCTTGTCGTAAAAGGCGACTAACGGGATCGGTGGTCTGGCTCGCTGACTTGGTTGATGCATGTCATCGATCCCAATTGCATGGATTGATGCTCATGATATTAATCACTGGATTGTCTGGTCCAGACCCGATTATTTACAGACCGCCGTCATATAGCTGGAATATTGCTGAGTGCGGCGGAAAACAACCAACCAACCATGGGCAGTGAGTTGTATTTAATTCACTTTCAGCATTTATTCCAGTCATATCACAAAGGGGCCACCAAGACTGAGTAGGTTTCAGGCATGCCAAGCAATCTCTTCAACATGAACAATAAAACAACAGAGGGCAGCTGAGTGGAAACATTCTGAGTTTATTTACAAGACAGTGGATGTGCACTCGATATAAGTGTTGTAAATGTACAGTCACAGATTCAGTTATGTAACATCAATTGAATGTTCCATGCCTCACTCGTAAAATTATGGACATCAGAAGGTCAATGTATTCAAATGCTGCTGCAAAAATAAGTTTACAAATAGTTATACACAACACATGTATGAATACATAACATTTAATTTTATTGGAGTGAAGACCTCGTATTCCAGTTTCAGATTAGACAGATATGATATACATATTAAGTCTCCATAATACTTCATTGTCAACAGATATGGAATATCATGTCACAGTCTTTGGTAAACAAATGTTAAAAAATTTAGTACATGTTCATAAAGGAAAACAAACTAAATCCATGAGAAAGAGGTTACAATTTTTCTATCTCAATCAAACATGCTAGATGCCTCTTCCGACAAATATTGATAATATAATGAACAATTATAATTGGTTCTCTCTTTATAGTCAACATTGTACCATATTTATGTTATTTATGTTATTTACGTTATTTACGTTACTTAATGCTGAAGGAAATCACTGTATCACAAATTGAAACTGACATTAAACTTGAACTTCACCAGCAGTCAAGACATACCAGCTGTTTGGTAATTTAGTCAATGATAATATCATGGTATTATCATTCAACATGTACTGGGTTGGTATTTTCTGTAATGAAGAAGACATTTTGATGTTGTAAACTTGTGGCTACATCAAAGAAAGGCAGTTTAGGCGTAATGTGTAAAGACAACATTCAAGGGTGCCTGACACATCTGAAAGTCACAATACAGAGTAAAACATTCACAAAGGACAATTGTTGGCATACCACTTCAGAGAGATCCATATTCAAATATAGGACAAGAATGGCATACTACACACACAGAAGGTGTACAGACATACAGAATGTATTTTCAAGCTCTATAGCAAACTATGATGTGTTTGCCATAATCTAGATAATGGACGGATTTGAATTATGTATGTATGTATGTATTATTTGGATTAAATACATCATGATATTTACTAATGAGACCATTAAATATACAATTTAACAATTCTGTCACGAATTCTCATAACTATGTTGAAAATTACTTTAATTCATTTCATTGATTTATTAACAAAACCGCTGCTATTCAGTTGTCTAAGATCCATATCCTACACAAAGACCCCAACAATATACATACTGTGCTTTAAGTTCAATATTACGCACACTATAATAAACCACCCCATCATTACCAATACCCAGTCCCCTACACCTGTGACCTCCCCAACGCCTTGTCTATGCTTCAATCATCCTCCATTGTCCATTGAGGGTTCCCATCTGCATCTGTGTCCATGTCTTCCTGTGGGTCTTCAGAGCCATCTGGTGCAAGAAACACACATTTCATCAAGATCAGCCGATTTAAACAATTTAAACTGTTCTCCAATAAAAAGATTTAGATAAAGTCAAAAATGTCTTTTACCTTGACAAACGAAAAGAGACATGTCTTTTCTGCCCACTATCCCTACCCTTGCAATCTACATCTTTCTCTCAAAGACCTACCCTGAAGTCTCCATTTTTCTCTCCCTGCCGTACCTCTTCCAGCCCTACCCTGCAGTCTCCACCTTTCACTCCCAGCCCTACGCTGCAAACTCCACCTTTCTCTCCCAGCCCTACCCTGCAGTCTCCACCTTTCTCTCCCAGCCCTACCCTGCAAGTTCAACCTTTCTCTCCCAGCCCCACCCTGCAAGTTCCACCTTTCTCTCCCAGCCCTACCCTGCAAGTTACACCTTTCTCTCCCAGCCCTACCCTGCAAGTTCAACCTTTCTCTCCCAGCCCCACCCTGCAAGTTCCACCTTTCTCTCCCAGCCCTACCCAGTTCCACCTTTCTCTCCCAGCCCTACCCTGCAGTCTCCTGCTTCTCTCCCAGCCCTACCCTGCAGTCTCCACCTTTCTCTCTCAGCCCTACCCTGCAAGTTCCACCTTTCTCTCCCAGCCCTACCCTGCAGTCTCCACCTTTCTCTCTCAGCCCTACCCTGCAAGTTCCACCTTTCTCTCCCAGCCCTACCCTGCAGACTCCACCTTTCTCTCCCAGCCCTACCCTGCAAGTTCAACCTGTCTCTCCTAGCCCTACCCTGCAGTCTCCACCTTTCCCTCCCAGCCCTACCCTGCAGTCTCCACCTTTCTCTCCCAGCTCTACCCTGCAAGTTCAACCTGTCTCTTCTAGCCCTACCCTGCAAGTTCCACCTTTCTCTCCCAGACCTAGACTCACCTCTGCAATCTCCACTTTTCTCTCCCAACTTTTTACTTTCTTCTGTATCTCATATAGATCTGCTTTTTCTGACACATACTCCATGACTTCTGGCACACGGAAGTCTGCCAACTGCTGACGTAGTTTGCGGTTAATGTTTTCAGCCTTCGCTCGCTCCTGAATATGAAAATATACGTCAAATATCTATCAATTCCTAAGAAATATATAAAATTACTTGAACTACTCAGAGCTACAAATTACCTGCCAATGTGAAAACACTCTTATGTGAGGGTGAGGCCAGCTTCCTACACCTATGTACAGTTAGTTTTGTTTCTGCCTTAATAGCCACACTTCACTGCCTCCATGATCCAGTGGATAGAGCATGTACTAAAACATGTTACAAGATGCATGTTATGACTCGCGCTTGGCATTAAAGTTATTAAAAGGGGTCTGATCAACTTTAGAGTCGGTATCCTGTCTGAATGGGGTGTCCAAGTTTAACTATGACATGGTATCACAGTGGGCTAGCACTAATAAGGGCATGATTAGTCCATACTAGTAGCATGAGTAGAAGCGCATGCACGCACTGACTTACTGATGCACCAGACTAACAATCCACATTTACACTTCGCTGATGATAGGTGACAAGTTAGCATTGAGATATTAAAGAATAGTAACTTCTGGCCACCTGTACCTGCTCAACAACCTTGGTCTCAGCATCAATCTTGGACAGCAAGTCATTTCTCGAGGATATCTCTGATCCAAGTCGTTCAGACTCCATTGTGAGTGTGTGGAGTTTTTTCTACAATGACAAATACAAATCACTAATTTGCTACATCATAAAGCACACTCTTTACATAGCACTGATGACCAGCAGCAGCAGCACAGACCATCATTTCATTCCTGAGGAACGTGCTGAGTATCTCTTCTACCATATTGTTCAGCATATCAACAATATTCCTTCTATGTCATTACAGGCTGAAATAATCAAGTCTTGGTCAGCCAAACCAGTGGTTAATATAATGAGTAATGTCCTATGCTACCGGAGTACAATGACACACAATCAAGCAACTGATCACCCTATCCAATCTGTTGGCCTCTTTCAACATGCTAAAGAGTGCTGGGGACCTATATCTTAACCAAGATCCCAACGGAATACATATCTCATGAGGATACTATAATTGATGCTTAGCTCATATCACAGACTTCAACACACATTCACAACAGTATATTCCCTTTTCTCCAGCTCATACACATTTAGCATCAAGTTTGCTTGCCTACTGGTTTGTTAAATTGCTGTTTTACATTTAACAGTACAAATACACAGCATGAGTGAGTGAGTATGGTTTTACACTGCTTCAGCAATATTCCAGCAATATCACAACGGAGGACACCAGAAATTAGCTTCACACATGGTACCCATGTGGTGAATCGAAACCCAGGTCTTCCCTTAAACCACTAGGCTACCACTCCGCCTCTACACAGCGTGACTGCCCTCGTACCTTGTATGAGTTGAGGACCTGCAGTGTGTTCCCAGCCATCAGCTTGAGACGGAGCAGGTCCTGGTTCCGTTCATCGATCTTCTCCAGGTACTGCTGGTTCTCGATTTTCAGCTGGTTGAAGTCCACCTCATGCAGCACCTCTCCCATCTCCTCTTTCTACAACACAGACGCTGAACACATATAGACACATCAACACAGAGACATAAACATGACTTGTGGTAAACACAACAATCTTAGAACACATACAGGTGGACAACTCACCTTTCTACAACACAGACGCTGAACACATATAGACACATCAACACAGAGACATAAACATGACTTGTGGTAAACACAACAATCTTAGAACACATACAGGTGGACAACTCACCTTTCTACAACACAGACGCTGAACACATATAGACACATCAACACAGAGACATAAACATGACTTGTGGTAAACACAACAATCTTAGAACACATACAGGTGGACAACTCACCTTTCTACAACACAGACGCTGAACACATATCAACACAGAGACATAAACATGACTTGTGGTAAACACAACAATCTTAGAACACATACAGGTGGACAACTCACCTTTCTACAACACAGACGCTGAACACATATAGACACATCAACACAGAGACATAAACATGACTTGTGGTAAACACAACAATCTTAGAACACATACAGGTGGACAACTCACCTTTCTACAACACAGACGCTGAACACATATAGACACATCAACACAGAGACATAACACAACAATCTCTGTAATATGCTTAAGAATGTTAAGACTGGAATCCATTGTGTGTGGGAAGACAATGAAGGTCAGTGATGTGATGAACCATACTAACCTGTTTCAGCTGAAGATGAAGCTTTTTCTTCTGTACTTTCAGTGTGGAATTTTTCAGTCTCAACTTTTCAATAAGTGTGTCCTGGAGGCAAAACACAAACATATATACTCCAACTATGCCAGACATGTCTAACAAACAATTCAGACAAAGTGGTAGAGGAACAAATTATAGAATTCAGTTATTTTGGATTCTCTATATATAAGAAAATTGGCACTCAGAACAGGTTACACTGTTTACATGACAAATGACAAAAGCATATGTCAGTCACTTGAGAGATCAAGCTTGCTTAGATAAGCTTATACTGATGAGTGTTATAAGAGGAAGAAGCAAAGATTATTCAACTTTTTTATAAGTCACTGTAGTATTCACACTAGACCTGACTCTCTTTCAATGTTTCACTGAATTGTAAATTTTACACTAATTTGATTAAATTTAATATTTATATACTTATCCTATCTCACACTTTGTTTGTTTGATTATTGTTTAGCAATATTCCAGCTATATGACAGCGGTCTGTAAATAATTGAATCTGGACGTGACAATCCAGTGATTGACATCATTGGCATCAAGTCTACGCAATTGGGATACGATGACATGCTTCAACGATGTCAGCGAGCCTGACCACCCGATCCTGTTAGCCGCCTCTTACAACAAGCAGAGTTGCCTCTTATGGCAAGCATGCGTTGCTGTACACCTATTCTTACCCGGATCTTTACGGGTGGGCATTTAGCGTGTGAGACATAAGTATGAAAATATACAATTTAATGTAAAATTTAACCCATCTCACACTATGTCTTAATCCAATGGTTAGACGGTTGGGCCTAGAAACACGAGGAAGCAGGAACTAAACACAAACACAGTGATACAAACAATAAGCTATAACACTGTCTAGTGTCATAATAGACAAGATCTTGTGAGTGGGTAAAAAATACAGTAACACAAAATGACCCCTTTACGCTAGTCGGGATACAGCGGGTAACAATGTTGATTGGCATAACGACCAGGTGATGCATAAGGGTAGATGTGCATGTGGCAATATCGATCCATGGGAGGAGGGTATCGATCCCAGCTGTGATGACGATCCCTGTAATCGCAATCGCAATCCATAGACGACCGTCGATAGTTAGGTCACTGTGAGTCTGAGTCGAAGGAGCGGGAATGATCTTGACATTGATGGTGATCCGATGGTTAGTAGAAGGCAGGAGATACCGTCCCGATGATTGATTCAAAGAATCGGGGTAATAATCATTCTTAGAAGGAAGGCGATCATCTTGTCGGGATGGAGCATTCTGGGACTTATCAGTTGTCTTGTTAGCTCGATCTGTAGAACGGCGATCCTGAGAATGTTGATCAATGGACGGTTGTTCCTTAGAATGGCAATTCTTCGATGAACGTCTGTTCGTTGAGAACTTGAACATCAAGTGGAGGAGCAAGGGATAAGCGACTCTCGGCTGATGGTCGTGGAGTGCCAAGAGGGTCGACAGTAAGGAAAGTCATATCATCGTCTTCTACTGATAGTGGGGGTATGGTAGACGAATGACGTGGCTTGATCACCCTTACAGAAGAGGGGACAGCTTGTTTGGTTACATGCTTGGGTTTCTTGGCAGATGAAGGCCTGTGTTCAGCATCCATGAATTTCGATCGGCAGTCGACATTATATTTTTTACATTTATGTAAGTATGTGCAGAAATCTTCCTCAGAGAGTTGGAGCATTAAGAACATATGTGGTCCAGTTTGCAAAGGCTGTGACAGTCACAACAAAGATTGGCTGAGGAATAAGTATGGCTGCAAATTCTACAGCCAAGCAACCCTTCTTATGATCCGTTCCCATACTCTTCAAATAATATTGTAGATGTTGAAACGATTGTGAGGAAGCTCTCATAAAAAAAAGCAAAAAGGTATTCTCTAGTGTTCAATACACGTCCACCCCCCCCCCCCCAAACACACAGTGAGTGAGTGAGTGAGTGAATGAGTGAGTGAGTGAGTGAGATTGGTTTTACGCCGGCTATTAGCAATATTCCAGCCATATCACGGCAGGGGACACCAGAAATGGGCTTCACTTATTGTACCCATGTCGGGATTCGAACGTGACATTTGGCGTGACGAGCGATCGCTTTAACCACTAGGCTACCTGACCGCCCCTCCCCCACACACACACACAGTGACAATTAGAAGGAAAATGATGAGTGAGTGAGTATATTTTTACGCCGCTTTTAGCAATATTCCAGCAATATCACGGCGGGGGACACCAGAAATGGGCTTCACACATTGTACCCATGTCGGGAATCGAACCCGGGTCTTCGGCGTGACGAGCGAATGCTTCAACCACTAGGCTACCCGACCGCCCCGGAAAATGATGAGGCAGAGGTAGTAAGGTGATCAAGTTGTATAAGATCACATGGACAGGATTACAGTGTGAGACTCATTTGTTTAGGTGGTGACCATGGTGTTGCTGGGATGTGTTTAGGTGAAATGTTTTCAGAAGCTGGAAGAAGGAAGAAATGCATAGTGTGAGATAGGATAAGTATAAAAATTTGGAACTTTGACAAGAAACCAACAACAGTTGTGAAATAACTTACTCTTGCTCTGAGTTTATCTTCAAAATAGCGGATGACCTTCTCTGCGATGACTTTAGCTGTCCTCTGGTTCACTGCACCCTTGACAATATCTCGGTCAAACTCATACGAGTCTTTCTTCATCTCTGCTAGACGCATGTCAGCCTCCTCCATTATTGCCTTCAAGGATGACACAGTTCACACAATTAGAAATTACATCAAGACATTCACTTAAAAAGCAAATTAATCTCATTGTCATGAATTACTCCCCAAAGTCATTAAGAACTAGGAAAACTTCACAATCTCCTTAGCAATGACCATAACAATAATACATACTGTTGACAAAGTGTTAAAAGTATGAAAATTCATTTTGCCTGAATAATCTTGATCATGATAACACAATGTATTATTAGTATATGTGAGCTAACTGGACAAAAATAAAATACAAGACTTGCTATCAATAGTCTTACAGTTAAACTTTTATATTTCTATTTCTAGTGTGTTCATCTGATATAACACACCTTGTAAGTGTCCATGATTTTCTCAGAGTCTTCTTTCAGTTTCTCTATTTCCTCTCGTAACTCTTCTATTTCTCTCTGAGCAATATCACATTTCTGTTCAGCAGTAAGTTTGAGGGACTTGTCTAAGTTGCTACTGCGGGACTTGGACCGCTTCCGTCCCACGCCTCGCATTTCCTGTGTTGACTGAGACTGAAGTGCTCCCAAGGTTGGTTGGACCGCCACCCCAGGAACGTCCTTTGGCTCAACACGCTTGAGAAATTTCTCAAACATTTGTGTTTCTGCAGCGAGGACCTCATTTGCCCGTCTGGAATGTAATAGATGAAAATTAAAAAGAGGGGTTATGACAATCATTCATAGTTTCCATTTTAGGCCTTTTCCCCAATTCAATATCACAATCCTCACATGTCACTGACTGACCTATGAAATCTGTTCTTCCTAGATAAAACGAAAAGAAATATGATTATCCCATTAAACCTTTTTGCCAACTGGGAAACTTGGAAATATTGACATTATTATATTAATGAAAATTATAAGACATGTTCATATGCCTGAGAACTGGCTTTACACTATACTTATAGATTTATAACAGAAATCAACTCACACATTTTTCACTAGAGAGTAATTGTAATTCAAGTTGTAAACTAACCCTAATCATCGAATATGTTGTGTTGATATTCACAGCATTATTCGACATACATATTATATATTCATTATTAAAATTAGATCAATTCCATATCTATATATTATTATACTGTTGACGATTCCCTTTTATATAAACAATATTTTGTGCCCAATATTTTAATATTGATGGCCGCAAAGAAACATTATGTGTGATATTCGATTTCGAGATGAAACACTAAGTTTACAAACATTTTTACCAAAACTTTGAAAAAACATAATAGTGCACATACAGTGTCTCCTCAACGAGTTGAAATAACTGTTCATCTGTGAGATCTTGAAGGGGATCTTCAGCAGTATCATTGCTGGTGTCAACACTCATCGTCTCCGATTCCGCCATTTTGACTTGAATGACTCGTTGCTATAGTGAACATCCGGGACATTTGTCATTGAAAATATAAACGTTTTACAATCCCATTTAGTTGTCTTTAGCTTTAGTCCTTATAAATATTGTTATTGTAAATACTGTTATTGTAATGGCGTTGGAATATAATAGTGAGGTAAATCTGAACAATCACTGATTTACTACAATTTTATATGATGTAAGCGGCAGTTGTTATTCGGGAGAACTCGGCATCACTCGCCTCGCCGATGTCGAGATCTTGTTGAGAAAATGGGGATATTTTGCTGGTTTTGTCAAAGCACATGTTTGTCACCACGTTGCCAGTTAAGTAGACATTTCGACTTGTTGATAAATGTCGTAATAGTTAAAACCATTAGACAAATAATTTAAAGAAAGAAGAAAACAGTACGATAAATGTATAATTGGATTCATTTAGATTTCATTGCAAGGTGATACCATTTTCAGAAATTTGTTGCACTTTTAAAGGAAAACTTTCAGTCGTCTAGCTGTCGTCATTTTAATTGGCCCGCGTAATCACCAGAAGCCAATAAAAAAAACTGGGCTTCTGACCAGCAAGGGGCCAACTGGAAAACCTTGTTGACAGCCAGGGGTATTCCTCTTGAATCCTCACATTTGAGTGGATGATCTGCTTGTGTAAATGTGTATGTACAATTATGTAGTTTGGTATACAGAAAATACGTGTACATATTATTTTTGTAACAATGAAATTCAGTTCATTTACATGACAACGACTGCATTATATCTCAATAGAGCCGATGTAAAAACTACGTTCTTTGTTCAAAGGATTAGCGGATAATACGTTGATTGTTATCTAACTATTTGGTGTTTTTTTTTAAAGAACCGTGGACATCATGAACATAGTTGCCATGTGTGCTATCTCAGCTGACTAATGAGACTTGACTCCTGTATGAAATACCTGAAACAAACTTACGTGGCCAGTTGGGAAACAACACGGGTCATAATATCCTGAAACGCTATATATAGTTTAAAATATTAGATTGTTATACAAAGACACGTACGTGCCATCGGACAAGTTTCTTTGTACAGCTTCCGATATAGAGATATTGTTCCTCCTTGTTGATATCTGCGGATACATTCCTCGAACAAGGCAACTGCCTGATTATACATATTACTTTTGTCGGTTGTAATTATAATATTTGCATTTCGTTTTCAATCATTTGATGTATGGCAAGAACGCGGGAGGCCTCAACGGTGACTGATCAAATTGTTCCATACGTAAAACATATATCAGGCAACAGCAATCAGTTGTTCCAAAATAATTCGATGTTGGGATATCTTATATCTGATAAAATAATAGTTTCAGATACTAGTCATTCAGTGAATGCACCAAAATTCTTTGAAGTTATATTTATTGCGATTCACTGATAGATTGTTAAAACTATAAAAACATCTAAGTGTTATTTTCCGGCTTTGTTTACGAGAAAATACACACGGTAGTCTTTATTTCTGCAGAGTTTATTGCACTTATATAGCGACGTGCATGCTTTTGTGTGTGTGTGTGTGTGTGTGTGTGTGTGTGTGTGTGTGTGTGTGTGTGTGTGTGAGACTGCTGCCGAGTGTATAGTGCCAGCCGACTGAGATACCATGTTATAGTCTGACCGCCACCGTGGTCTAGTGGTAGAGCGGCCGCCCGGAGAGCGGAAGGTCCGGGATTCGATCCCCGGCCGCGTCATACCAAAATACGTTAAAAGATGGTACTTGTTACCCTGTCTGGCGCTCGGCATTAAGGGGCCAAAACAAGAACTGGTCGGCTCGGAGTCAGTATGCTGTGTCAGTATGCACGCACGTGCATGAATGTCGCTATATAAGTGAAATAATCTTGGACGCGACGTTAAACCCAATTTCACCTCACCTCACCTCACCTTTTAGTCCTATGAGGAGCGTCGTTACCCGCACACGCGAACACATACACACACGCTCGCGTCATTCCTTATTTTGAAGCGTTCTTCTGTGTTGTTGATAGATAACAACCCCTAAGGAAGAAGACAATTTACCGCCATTAACCTATGCTGGTCGTAAGATTGGACTAAAATGGATCGGGTGGTCAGGCTCGCTGACTTCGGTGACTGCATGCGCTCATCGTGCCTCGATCACTACCTGATTTGCCTGGTCCAGACTCGGTTATTTACAGGCTGCCATGATATAGCTGGAATATTTCTCGGCGTTCAACATTAGTTACTCGCTCCCTTGCATAAAGGAAGTATGCGTTCATTTAATTTGCAGCGTGTCTTAACATTGCACAAATACGTTTGAGTTGCAAAGATTAAGCATAAAAAATAATTCACTAAGTACTCAGTCACTTTCAGATGCATTTACTCTTTTGATATGCCTGATTATTTATGCATTTGCGGAAACAAATGCGAATCCGGAGAGGTGTGGCATCACACACACACACACACACACACACACACACACACCACCCTCTTTTTCGTTTTTGGAAGCTCACACAACTCTTACATTTGAAAGTTACAAATGTGAGCGGGTATTCTAGTAAACTGTAAAGGTCTTAAACACTGTACTTGCCACATAACCATTGTCGAGTGCCAACTTTTAACGTCTTATGGTATGGCCGCCGGCAAGGGGATCTAACCACCAATCGTGTTTAATAGTGTTATATGGTTTGGCTTGGCAAATGTTGTCTATGTTGAATAATAGTATAACAGTGTTTGTTTTCCCTATACATACCGGCGAATAATACACATGGTGCCGTTTTTGTCATACAAAATGGGTGCCGTTTTGACATGATTCCGTTTCAGCCTGATCCCATATACACTCGTGACCCTCGCCAACAAGGTTTGACATGTGAATGCTGTTACGTCACTGCTCATGCACGTATATCGACTGGGGCCTTCCTGCCGTGTTCAGTGACTGCAGCAGTTGCCGTCTCCTGATTGTGTGTGCGCATCAGGGATCTTCACTATTCACTTTTACAGGCAATTCTCTGTGTGAGTACTAAGCTAAAAAAACTAATTTAGCATACTATTTGCTATACTCGAAGGCAATATTTCGTTTTTCATCAATATATGGTGTGTATATTTATTATATGAACGAGACTGGCAGCTTCTAATTTCGTTTTGACTCATGACGTATTTTCTACTTTCGCTTTGATGCATGACGTCATTTCGACTTCGCTACGACCTGTTTATTCAAGGCTGTCTCCAATTTTTTTTTATATTCTAGAGACCAAAACAAACTATTTGTTTGTTTTTCGGAATAAACCATTTCCCTTTCATTTTTTTCAGGAAAAAGAACGAGTTACTATGGGGGTTTTTTCGTTTCCTACTGTGCCTGGTAAAACTGCTTGGCGACAATACGCCTACGTCATAAAGGTCACATGAAGCAAAACAAATCTAAGCACTAGAAACATACATTTTCAAAATATGTTTTAGTCGATAATTTTGTTGGAGAAAAAAACACAGCTCATAATTTGTGCAAATAAAATACTCAGCCTCCATCTGCTTGAAAAAAATAACTCAGCCCCATTAAAGAGTCTCGCCACAATATGGCCATCCTCGTCAATACAGTGAGTGAGTGAGTGAGTGAGTGAGTTAATGTTGTTTTAAGCTGCATAAGCAATATTCAAGCTATTCACAGCTAGAAAAACAATATCAATTTCCTTTAGTCAACATTATTTAAAAGTGATGACAACGATCACTAAATCTTCAGTCCATTATCACAGTAAACAGTAAAAACTGACATTCAAAATTTAAAATCTATATTTTTTCATACAGTTTAATTCCTTTCAAATAGGCTAAAACTACGTGGTTGATAGTCAAAGGACTATGGCAAGGTATACATTGAGGGGGATCTTCTCCCTTCAATACAAAGGAATCAGTCAAATGATTTTGTCCAATATGACACCTTCGGATTGCAACTTCGTCCTGATGACATAATCGAGTAAGGGCATGATTTCCGATCAAGCGTTGTATGGCATGAAGCTTGTTTATTCCAGTTTTGCTGCCACATATGGCCAACATATTAGCAAATAGCAGGTTTTAGGTCAGTATATGGAAAATTACCTCTCAATACAGATTTCCAAAGAGCAGCTTTAGCTGCAGAATCTGCTTAAAAATTTGCTTTGATGCCAACATGACTTGGAAGCCAAGAAAAGATGATGTCATTGTCAGCCACAGACAAATTCAAATGATATTTTAAAATTTCAACCAAAAGGGGATGGTAAGTTTTGCGGTTCTTGATTGCCAGTAAGCAGGATAAGCTATCAGAAAAAAATGATAAAACTTCTCTCCTTTGGACGTTCAATAAGTTGCATGGCTAAAAGTAAAAGCCTGGCTAAAAGCCTTAGCCTCTGCCGTTAAAATGGAACTTCCACCAGTTAATCGTAATGATAGAGTACCATCATGTGTAACAGCTGCAGCTGACACCTTATCACAATGTTTGGACAGCAAGCAATATACAGGGCATACAAGCATATATACTGATGGGTCATCAATACAGAATAATTCGTAAGCAAAGCCATAATCTTTGACAGAGAGACATGACCATGAGAGACAGTATGCCTGTATCGCTAATTTATTAATAATCATTCAAATCTTCCATTTCAAAAGGCCATAACAGTTGTTGACTGTGACGGGAAATGTGCAAATTAAACATCATATACCCTTACTTGGAAACTGGCGAGCAAAAGAAACGTTACCAATCAACATTGTTTGTTCCTGAAAACAGAGCAGGAAGATACTTGTATGGTCAAAAGACATGAATTAACAACATCATTCTAAGTTACGCCATGATAATCAAGTTGTCCTAAAATGTACCCTATTTTTTTAGATGCGTCAGTTGTGAGGATGAAGGGTTTGTTTGGTCGGGATATGCAAGGATAGGGGCTGTTGTAAGGGCTTGCTTTAGCTTTTCGAATGCCAGTTAGAAATTGTTGAAGAATTCGAAAGACACATCTTTTTTAAGAAGTTGTATAGAGGGAAGGAGATGCCAGAAAGGTTTGCTACAAATTTGTGATAATACGAGACCAAATCTAAGAAATGACACACGTCATGGACATTTTTAGAGGGTGGGATCTGTGTGACTGAATCTATATTTGAATGACCGACCTGGATGCCATCTTTGCTGAAGATATGTCCTAAGTAGGTGACTAGTTGTGTCGCAAATGTACATTTTGCTTGGTTTTAAAGTGAGTCCTGCTTCTTTGATCTTTTGGAATACTGCCTTTAGGTGATTCAAATGTTCCAAAAACGTTTCAGAAAATATAATGTCGTCTACATATATTAGTATGTAACGCCAATTCATTTCTTTATTGCCTCTGGAATGGTTTGCAGAAATGCCATAGGAGCATTTTTGAGTCCGAAAGGGAGGAAATTCCATCCAAAATCACTATCGGGTGTAATTTAGGCCGACTTGTGTTTTGCATCTTGATGGAGTGGTATTTGCCAAAAGCCACTAGCACAATCCAGCACACTAAAGATATTGGCAGAGGTGGTAGTGGGGAAAATATAATCTATAATCTACGGGGAAAAAGGAAGAGCTGTCACGTTTTTTAACCATTACAATGAGAGAGTGTCATTCATAAGAACGGGCCTGAATGATATTGGCTTCAAACATTTCATGCACCTGTCTGGAACATTATTTGTTATTGGGTGCGTTTCATCTATAAAAAGGGAGTGTAATGGGTCTGGTGTCTCCTGTTTCTATTTTTGTGTTGATGTAAGTGAGCGTGTCCTAATTCTGACCAATCTAAGGCAAAACTTGATCTTTGTGATTGGAGAAATGCATTTTATTGAATACTTGGACTTTTAATATTTTTAAAATACTTTTGAGGACAACAGTCAGGGGTATTATTTTGGTGCATGGCTAGCCATGGCCGCATCCTCACCAACGATGTTGATGATGAAGTATTGCCTGTCTAACGTCTATCCAGTGTGCCTATAACGGACCATCAGCCCGGTGACTGTCATTCGGCTACAGCCCAAACTCCTTGCAATGTGGTCAAACATTGCTTGTTGATGTATCATACCAATGGCTTGTTTTTTCACTACCATTAATCTAAGCATGATATTTGTCACTGTCCAACTGTTTGGGTGTGAATGACCAGTACATCGTTCCTTTTATATCCATATCTTTGTAGGCTAGCATGCTGCAAGAGCAACAAAAGATTCACTTCAAACTCAAGTTTCACTGATCTGGGTAATGTAGCACGTGCATTACTCAGCAAACTGTTGTAGTTCAGTTTGGGCGATTGATTCCTCCAGTTGATGTGAGTACAAATATGCCAAGTTGATTGGGTATTGCTACACCATAACGCATGTAGTCTAATGGTGTCCTGCTTTGTTTCTTTTACTAGTTGGACCGACTGCCAGATGGAAAAAAAACTGTGTCAAAACAACATATACTAATTATAACCATCATATTCTCTGGATTATCAACTAATCAAATGTTACAATTGATGTATTTGAAGTGTATTTTTCTGTTGAAAGGAACCGGACATACCATTGATATGGCTGGACCAGTGGACCCTCGCCTGAGGGATAGTCTGAGTGAAGTCCCCCACTCTCTTCAACTCGACTACATCATTAACATCAAAAAGGCAAAATGTGTCTGCATATTGGACCGCATCCAATCAGAAAGATTACTGCCATGTGGGTTTGAAGAAGAACAAATCAGACGAGATAATTTCTTATCATTACTTCATTTCCACACAAATCAAAAAGAGAAAGCTTCAGAAATAAATTCTAGAGTTTGTGAAAATGTCCCAACTAATATAACAGCATTAGTGAATAAAGCCGTAATGAAAATGGCGACTGGACATGAGTATGCCTCCCAAGAAGCCATCAGAGAGCTGGATAAATTGAGAGGGCGAGATGACTACAAACAGTTACTAGCTTTAGCCACAGCAGAGCAGGCATACTGCATGTCTCGTATAGGGCCTCACCTCTATGTCCAAGCAATTGATCTTTTTGAAAATGCCATTAATGAATGTCCTGACCAGTACCTGTGGAAATTCGGTTGTGCGTTAACTTGCAGAAGATGCTTAGGGATGCCTAAATGTATTGAGAACATGACACCAGAAAGAGTTAAAGTGTTTTGTGAAAGAGCTGTACGATATCTTTCGGAAATTACTATCAACTGCAAGAAGCAACTTCTGATTGCAAAAGCGTTTGTGGAGTTGGCTGACCTATACCTCTTACTGGAGAAGCCTGCTTACCCTTTAACTCAGCAGATTGTTGACCAAGTCAATATAGAAGGTCTATCATTGACTGCAGAGCAATGCCTTGATACAGCCCTTAAAACAGTCAATGTGGCCTCTCTAGAAGATGAGATCGTTCTTGGAAGATGTGGCAAACTTTTGCTTTTTGCCAGACACCCCTCTCAATATTCTCATACTTTACAAAAATGTTTAGAGTTACTAAAGAAGGCATATGCAATCCGACCAAATTCATTCATTTGTGATCATCTAGCAAAGATATTACTCAAATTGGCAGAACAAGATTTTGGTGGAAGCGGACGTGGACGTGGACGCGGACGTGGACGTGGACGCGGACATGCACGTGGTCGTGAGAGGGGCCATCGTGGATTTAGACAGAGTGGGAATCACACAGGAGGCAATGAAATGCCATACAGAGATGTACATTATAGAAACTGGTCTACCTATCGAGAGGGTTACATTGGGGAACCTCAGGGGGCACCTTTTGCTAATTCATCACTAAATGCACAAGCTGCAGCATTTGTCCCGAAGATGCAAGGGAGCAGTGATCAACAGCTCATGTCTGACAGTGGCACAACTGATCTGACTTCTGAGATTGCACAACTCTCATTACACAACAACCATTCACCACGAAACCACCCGCGAAGAGGAGGGTCTCCTAGGAAGCTTTCGAAATTACTAAATTCTCCAAAACACGTAAAAAAATACCCTAGTCACCAATATCTTACCGAGGCTGTGCGCTATCTTCAAGAATCAATTGCTATGACGAAAGAATGCAATCTCACCGCCATCTATGACTTAGGATTAAACTATAGGCGACTTGATCAGGTGGAAACTGCAGTGGAGCAGTTTCGCAAGATCATCTCTGATCCCAATGCTTCACCTTATTCCAAGAGTACTGCCTATGAACAGATTGGCTTTTGTCTGTTGGAGATGAGTAAAGGAAGTCAATATAGTGACGTGGAGAAACTGAACTTCAGAGAGGAGAGCAAGATGATGATGACACGATGCATAGAACAGACAGCCCTTCTTGTTGCTCGGATTCCGGCAATGGGAAAAGAGGATTTCAACTCATGGCAAGCACTGCCTACTTTGAAACAGCTTCTCACGAACGAGCCCAACAAGACTGAGAGTATCCAGGAAATAGCTAGAATGTGTGCATTAGTTGGTGACCACAGAGATTCGATAGATTTCTATAAAAAACTGCTGCTATTGAAACCAGGTGAACCTACATTACTTTCTGCAGTCATTAAACAATACATGTGTTTACGTGATTTTCACAATGCCCGGTCATGTCTACAACTTCTGTTGTGTACACGTGAAGGAAAACAGATGGCCGACAAAGAACAATATTTAGTTTTCCAAGTTTATCTTGGGATTGCTAAACATCTTCTTGACTCAGAGTCAACTCCTACAAGCAAAGATGATATAAGGTCCTGTCTTCAGAGTGCTTTCACACACAGACATGGGCGCATTTCCGGTGAGGATGACGAGGGCTGGGACGTCTTTGTACTGGATGACCCCGGACAGACAGATGCTGAGGCAGCAGCCATCATGTCATGGTTTGGGGGAACGTGCGGCTTGTCTGTAACTCGGAACACTGATGACGTTCTTGGCTATGAACTTGAACTCACCGCGGAACTAAATGCAGTGAAAAAATGCAAATGTTTGGTTGTCCTGTTGGGCAAAGCAACTGCTACCAAACGACTAGAGACTCTTGTTGCTCTCTCCCGCACTTGTGATGGCTTGCATGTGATAGTTCCCATACTGACCTGTCCAAGAACAGTTTTGCCGACCTTGGAAGACAAACGTCCAGTAAAGCTATCACCAGACTTTCTGACATGTCAACGTTCTCAACAACTCATGAATATGTTTTTGTCCATTCTGAAGCTGGATTATACCGAATTTGCTTGGTTGGATGAAAACAATTAACATTGAACAACATTAAATCCATTTACAATGACATTTACCTACAGTATCCTGATTTTATCAATGTGTAGTTTTTGCTCATACGATTTACAGCTTTGTGTTCATAGTTGATGGAAAACACATAAGATTGAAAGATGCTTGAGCTGCCAAAAGATGACTGTAGACCACGCTGCCAACGAGTGTGGATATGGCTGCCTGCAAGTGTCTATGAATCGGGGACAAATTGTAACCTGTATGTTCACTTTGTGGTGTACACTTGTCTTTTAAAGGCGGCTCCATTTCATCGATTAGAAACCATCGCCAAATGCAATACAATCGACAATCCTCAAATTCACGAAGAAGGTCACAAAATACACACTTCACAGCATTGGCGATAATAAATGCACTGGTTTCATTATTCAACTAATTACCAGTAGTAAGGACCATGTCATACCAACTATAGTAACTATATTATCATACATGATGTCATTCTGTGGTCGAAATGTGTTTGAAAGTACCGGGAATATGAATTTGAATTTGTAAAAGGTAAATTCAATCTAATATATAATTGTAATTGAAGTAAATTGTAATGTTAGTATTATTTAGATCTAGGCCGAATATGCCTTTTCACAGCCATACGACTATGCATAATGTGTGCTTATACTTGATGCTTATGTATGGTTTAAAAACTCTCATCAGGGCTACCCTCGCCAGTGGGATTATCAATTGACCATTGCACTTCACATGGATATGTCACTGTGACATGCCAATATATTAAACAACACATGGAAAGTTTGCAATGTGGTCCCTGCTGAGATCACTTTTAAATATTTCTGTAGTTTTAAACTTTTAGGAAAGTAGGTTTTTCTTCTTGTGTATTTGCATCCCCATAACACCCTAGATGTCTTTCTTGCTCCCGACCTCGAGCCCCGACGTCAAGCCGCCTCCTTTAGGAGTATTTGTTTTTTGTATTCGAACCCACGATCATAGGTTTCTGGGGTGCTGAAGGGATGCAACTTCACAGCCATTTGCGGCGCCATTCGATGACTGGGCCAGCCGTGTCCGCATTACTGATTAGAAAATAGTGCCATGGTGTCACCGTGGATCATATGTCACGGTTCAGTGCCGCTATGTTCCCATTCGCCAACACTTGCCCCTTTCCGTAACCCGCATTCGTCCCGGAATAACACGAGTTTGTCAAGAATGGCTATGTTCCCCGACTTTATTTCCGGCGGCCGCTATTGTATTGTGTGTGATCATTTGGTGTTCGAGAATTAGTGGCCCACTTATTTTTCGCTCTTATAATGTAATGTTACTCTCCAACTATGTAATGACTTGATGTTTGTTGTTTCTCCCATAACAGGGCTTGATCTCCAGTCTCCAGCAGTGGTTTATTCGTAGTGGTTTATTGTTTTTGGTATTTTTTAAAAATAACCGTCAACCACATAAGAAATGTCACGTTGTTTCGAAGTGTTGATCAAGAGCTGATCGATCGTTTGTGTAACCCACCGTCAAAAACATATTTTATAGTTATATTAAAATAATCGAGGCTTATATTTCATATTTTAAGAAAATAAACACCTTAAATAATTTGTATCAAAAGACATACTCAATTTTAATGCATTAAACGATCAACATTTGCCGGACCGAACATCTCACGACCAAGATGTTTTGCAACCACCGCAGTTGTTTCCCCTTTCAACAGTTGGAGTTTATCCAGATCAATATAATTCATTCATTTTGGCCTGTAATTATTTGTTTGTTTTTTTAACTTGAAGAATTCAATTATATAAACATACTATTTCAGGCCATTTAAGAAACTTTTCTTCTTCTTTTTAAAACAACAACATTACTACATTTAAACTTGAATGTATTTAGTTTAAGTACCTAGATCTATGTATTTATATTTTTTCTTAGCTATTTTGATATCTAATAGGGAGCAGACAAAATGATGAAGATAAAGATGGTGGGCACCAATCAACCTTTTTAGGTATTGTTTTCAAAAACAATATTCTTTTTTTTTTCAATAAAGATTTACATTTTTGCATCTTAAAATATATTTGGTATATTGGATAGGATGAAATCATCTCAAAATTAATTTCATATAATCATTTTTAGGTAGAAACTCACTATCACAGCTAATTATTTTCAGAATTAACAGACGATACAGAGTATTAAAGAAATATAAAATTATGTTTGTCTCATATATATTCTTTAAACCAAAGTTGTTATTTTTATTTACCATGTTTACTGAAAAACAACAACATTTCTTTAATAATGAAACTGTTATATTATCATAGCAGTTAAAGAACCCCAATATATAATTATTCAGCATTTCTTTGGATGATAAACTGGACATATGAAGAAAAAAAAGAAATGTAATTTTTCTGTATTATTTTCTCATTACAAGGTTTTCAGTGGTTTATTTTTTCACACAATCTTATTGGCTGCCTGAGAGCGGAAAGCTATGTTGCTATTTTAACCAGAGACCTTAAATTATTCTATTGTGTTATGTGTAAATTTTCAGAATTTGGTAAGTAAAGAAAAACTCAAATTTATGGATGATGAAGAAACGACCAACATGAGGTCATCTTATAACATTTACCATTAACCTCATTTCTCAACATAAGCATTGTCAAATTTTAATTTTAATACTTTTTACAAACAATTCACATATAATCAGGTCACTAAAATATATATTTATTATGAGTCTTGTTGATGAAAAGAAGCACATGTTAAATTTTAATTACCTATGATTAGTAATTCTTAATTTCTAATCTGATAAAATAAGAAAAAAATAAAATTTGGATGTAACTGTAGCAGTAAAATAACAATGTAACATTACAAGGGTGTTACAATAATGTAAATATTGAAATGATAATTTATTGTCTACATATATTCTATGTATTTATGTTTCACACACAATAAAGTATTGTTCTTGTCAAATTCACATTGTGTCATTCACAGATATTGGAAAATTAGATAACTCATTTAGTAACATTTTTGGTGTTATGATGTTAAATATCATGGTTAAAAGAAAAATGTCCACTGAATTAGTAAAGATTTTCTTATTCTTTTTTTATAATAGAAACACATGTGCTAACTATGTTCAGGAACAAAACAAAAAAATTAAAAAAGATGACATGAAATAATCATCATTTTATATATTAAATTATTCACTGTAAATTCGTTTAAAAATATTACAATTCATTGATGGTGTTGAGAAGATTTACCTAGGAGTAACCAGCTGATCAGTTGCCTGGTTGAGGCACACTCATGATTAATCTGCCACGATTAGAACTCGGCAAAGTGTAAATCTCGTGTGTAGATTTTTCGGTAACAACGGAACACAGTGGTTAATCCTCTATCTCTCATATGTTCACCAGCATATTCTTGTATTGAAAATGTTTTCTATTTATGACTTGCAAACATTAGGGGAATTTATATCTACATTCAGATATTTATCATGTATTGATGGTTATTTTTGTACATAGCTTGTTGTGAATCTTTAATGAAACCGTTGGGTAGTTTATGTTCAGCGCTTTATTTTGATACTTACATCTCCAGTGTAGATATAGAGATATAGTAGTTTTCCCCGGGTTTAAAAACACACCTTAGCTTCGCCTAGTCTGATTGTTATGAGTTTAGTTACTAGGCTTTGTAATACTCAGTTTGTCTAGTAATCCGTGGATAACCGTCCCGTGATTTCTAAACTCTTAGTAACTAGTGTTTCCAATACTCTGTTTTCTAGTAATCTGTGGATAACCTACTTTCCCGTGATTAACTAGCTATTTGGAAACTTTAGTATATGTTGATCACTTCATTCGTATTTTATACAACCCTGATCATTGGAGCACACCTGGATATGTAGTCAACAGTTTAAAATGTGAACATCGAGAACCAGCTGACAGCATAAATACTGAAGGCGAAAATCCTTCTTATTGGAACTAATCATAACGTCATCAAAAGAAGAAAACATCTCACAGTTCAGTTTACTCAGTATGGAACTTAAATGGGAGAAGAATGAATACAATATTGCAATTAATGGAACGTATTTCTTTGCACTTATGGAATTGGCTGAATAATTTGGCCATAAATAGATTTTTCAACGGACATATTGAATATCAGAATCGAATCTCTTGTACAAATTTGGCACTCAAGCATGAAACAAGCGTTTAAAGTCACTGCTTCATTTGTCCTGAAGGCAAACATGCCACTACAGATGTCTTATGATAATAGAAAGTTGTTTTTCGCTTATACTGACCTTCTGTCAGGTGAGATAAATTAGATTTTCCTTGAGCGAAACTCTTAACACGTAGCTAATGTTCAAACTAAACAGGATTGGGTTGGCTAATCTAGTGGTTAAAGCGTTCCCCAGTGTGAAACCCCTATATTGACCCGTGAAGATCCGGGGTAGAATAGGTCTTCAGCAACCCATGCTTGTCGTAAGAGACGACTAACGGGATCGGGTGGTCAGGCTCGCTGACTTGGTTGATGCATGTCATTGCATCCCAAATGCGTGGATCGATGCTCATGATGTCAATCACTGGATTGTCTGGCCCAGACAGACCGCCGTCATATAGCTGGAATGTTGCTGAGTGTGGTGTTAAACAACAAACATCAAACCCCTGTATTCTTTACGCATCTGACCGCCTCCCCACGGTCTAGTGGATAGAGCGTCCGCCCGAAGAGCGGAAGGTCGGGCTCGATCCCCGGCCGACACATTCCAAAAGGCGTTAAAAGATGGTATTTGTTGTTCAATGCCTGGTGCTCGGTATCAAGGGGCTAAAATAAGGACCGGTACTTCTCGCGTGTTTTCGGAACTCGGCTCTGTTCTCTTCAGATCGCATCCCGTCACACTTCCTGGACACACACCTGATACCATCGGTAAGTCGGTAGCCTCGTGTCAAATACGTCAGCGGTTGTCACATTAAACAATGGTTGAAAATGGTTTGCAGCTCTGATTTGATAGCAATGTGAATTCTTGGTAAAAGCTTATAGTTCAGTTTCTTGGTAAAGGTGATCTACTTTCGCTTTCGGTGTCCTTTCATACACTCTTACAAATTGTCCTTTCATACACTGTTACAAATATATAGAGCACTATCACTCATACACTGATCGCGTTTTCATACACTGTGTTGCCAAGCTGACCATCCGCTGTAAAGCGGACACTAAGCCATCTGCTGTAAAGCAGAATGGATAAACTGGTTCCTGCTGTAAAGCGGGCAACCCTATCCTATATAATTTATAATTTGGGATGTATCCCAAGACGCCAAATGTAACTTGTAATGCGGTCCACCAGCACCCCGCAACAAGCACCGAGGTGCTTCCCCACATGTAATCTATTATTAAACATGTCACCACCTCACGAAGGTTATGACATGATAGACAATCAAATAATACATTTAGGAGATATCGTGATTAGAAATTAAACATGGCAATGGATAGTAATTACAGATAATAACCAACACAACCATTTTCATAGGAATTGCATTTTTTCATTAGCCATCTGTATAAAAAGAAGAAATTGTATTCCGCTTTAGTTCCACATTACCACTGTTATGCGCTGCTACACTTAGCAACAAATGGCGGGTATCGAGTCACTGCCATTGGCGCATTGCAGAACGGAGTAGAAATTTTAAAAAACACAAGAATTGCAGATGATTTTGCTCTTATTCAATGTCTGTCAATTAAACACATACGCTCGTAGTTGCATGCGATAGATATAATTCTATATGGTGTACTGTATTTATCAGTACTGTACTCGACAAACGAGCAATGTTTTCTCTCCAACACTGTAACTGGTCAATGTAACATTTCCCATAACGAGTTTCATTGCTATGATTTGTCCGACAATCGCAGCAACAAGCCGCATTGGTTGATAAGAGCGCCTATTCACTAAAAAAAAAATCTTCAATGGCCTTATCTAACTTCCTCTGAGGAACGGATAAACACAGAGTGTTTGTATCTATGTGAATACCTAGCTACTCCATGAACTACGAAGGTGACCGTTGTGATTTTTCGAATTTGGGTACAAATCCCGACTTGATCAAGTCTTCTTTTGTAGCCTCGCCAGACGAACGAGTACTAAGTTCCAACTGAGCTGATAAAAGACCGTCTTCTAAAAAGGTGACCACTTTCTTCCCTTCAGAACGCCGTTTCTTGACTAACTGGCGTGTAACCTTAGTTAACACATAAGGTGCTGAGTTAACACGAAAGGTAAGACTACAAACTTGAAATGTTGCTTAACACCCGAAGCATTTTTCCATGAAAAACCTAGGAATTCAGTATTGGCTTAAAAAATGTCTATATGATGATATGCTGAGTGTATATCAAATTTTATCAACCAATCGTTCACATTAATATATTCAAGTGCAATTTTCCAATCTTTACATTTGATTGACTTTTTGCTGACGTAATTGTTAACTCTGGACAAATCTAAGATCAAATTTCGTGTATGGACACAGAAGGAGGGTTAACAATGTAGGGCGGAGACTCAGACTCAATGAATAATTGTTTCTTATGCAATTCTAAAATAGCTTGGGCCTTAACAAACTCTGCATGTCTCAACGCCGACTTGTTATTTCGTAACTCCATCTTTAGAGGCCTGGAAATAAAAGGAATTTTATATCCATTGTCTATAATATTAATTATGAATTTAGACGCACCAATATTGTACCAGAATTGAATGCTAGACTTTAACCGACCCTTCACTATAATTTCTGCTGATCCCTATTCATATTCATCAAAATCATTAGTAAGGGCAATGTCATAATCATCAAGCATATTGTTTTCCGAATGTACATTATCAAAACTACACTTAACTGACAAGTCTTATCCTGCCTTAGAGGCACTGGTTACTGTGGCGTTGACACCTGTCGTCGCCCTGGTTGTACTGCCTGTACAGTAGAGACATTCCCGGATGTAGTGCGTGAACTCGCCGCAAAAATGGCACGAACCTTGTCGTGAACCCTTGACCCGAAAAAGCTGCAAGATAGGAGTGAGTATGGTTTTACGCCGCTTTTAGCAATATTGCGGCGTGGGACATAATAAATGGGCTTCACACATTGTACCCATGTCGGGAATCGAACCCGGGTCTTCGGCGTGACGAGCGAACGCTTTAACCACTAGGCTACCCGACCGTTGGAGCTTTTAAGTATTTGGTTTATTAATTTAGGTCGGTTTTTGGTATTTTTGTTTTGGAGGGCTTGTAGTCCACTAAGGGAGTCGGTGAGAATTAGGATTTTATTTTGTTTTTAGATTGTTGGTTATGCAGGGCTGAGGCCATGCCCATAAGTTCGGCCGTGAATATAGATTGGTTGTTTGAGAGTCGGTAAGATTGTGTGGATTTAACTGGTTGTGTGGTATGAAATTCGAAGCCTGTGTGGTTGGAGATCGGGTCTGAAGATCCGTCCGTGACACCAATTTGGCCAATTGTCGTGTATGTATGCAAGTGTGGTGGTTTTAGCTATGTTTGGGTCGTTTTGTTTATTTATTTGGTTAGCTAGCGTTGTGTCTATATTGGGATTTTTTTTAGTTTGGTGTTCATTGAGGACGTTTGAGGTAGTTAGTTATTCTTTGGGATATTGGGGTGAGTAAGGGGTGTTTGCGAGCTAGAGCTTGGTTTCTTGGGCTAATGTTTTGGTTAATTAGGTTTTGGATGAGAGGGTTTGATTGGGACCCGGCCCAGAAATTAAGGCTTAGATGTTCCCTGCGTAGATTTAGTGGCATTTCCCCTGTAAGGGCCTGAAGTGAGGTGTAGGAGGTGCCATGTTGGGTGCATGTAATTAGTTTAAGGGCTTGGTATTGTATTGAGTCAAGTTTTTTAGATAGAGAGTTGTTTAGGGTATTGTATATGGCGTAGTCTAGTGTTGATCTAATTAGAGCTGTATAGAGTGAGAGGAGACGAGCTGCTTTCCGCACCTTATTTATACCCGTAACATACCAAAGCTAATTACCTCCCTTAGCCATTGCATACCGCTAAGGAGAAAGCAGTTTCTGAGAAACACCACGAATATGCTGTTACGTCACTGCCTATATACGCGCATATCGACCGAGGCCTAACTGCAGTACGTGTTAAGTGACTGCGGTAGATTAGGTGGGCGTCTCCTGGTTTGTGTGAGTATCAGGGAGCCTTACTATTCTAGATCTGTGTGTGTGTGTGTGTGTGTGTGTGTGTGTGTGTGTGTGTGAATATATTTAGGTCGATATCTGGTGGTTAGATGTCAACGCCACTGACGGTGACTTTCGTTTTGACTAGAGAAATATTGTTTATTTTCGTTTTGCCGATCTGTTTATTTACGTCTCATATACGTACATACTTGAGAGTAAACAGGTTGGTTGTAACCTCTTCACATTCATTTTTGGGGGTTTTTTTGGGGGGAAAAGGAACATGTTACTAGTTGTTATCGCCTACAGCGACCAGTAAAACGACTTGGCAACACTAGGCGATCGGGTAGCCTAGTGGTTAAAGCGTTCGCTCGTCACGCCGAAGACCTGGGTTCGATTCCCGACATGGGTACAATGTGTGAAGCCCATTTCTTGAGTCCCCCGCCATGATATTGCTGGAATATTGCTAAAAGCGGTGTAAAACCTTACTCACTCACTCTTTTCAAAATGTGCCTTAGTTTAAATAATTTGGACATTTAGAAATGTTGGTTGTTGTTGGTTTGTTGTTTAACGCCGCACTCAGCAATATTCCATGACGGCGGTCTGTAAATAATCGAGTCTGGACCAGACAATCCAGTGATTGATATCATGAGCATCGATCCACGCAATTGGGATCGATGACATGCATCAACCAAGTCAGCGAGTCTGACCACCCGATCCCGTTAGTCGCCTTTTACGACAAGCATAGTCACCTTTTACGGCAAGCATGGGTTGCTGAAGACCTATTCTACCCAGGAATCTTCACGGGTCACATTTAGAAATGAAAGTTACGGAGAGCCGAAGAATAAGTAATTACTTTGTTTTGACTTAATGACCTACGTCTGTTGCTAGATAGTGTTTGTTCATAATGTATTATGGCCCATTTCAATCCTTCGGTTGACATACGCCACAACTTACAACACAGCATCTAGTTTGGGCCGAATGACTTACAGAAACACTTTGTCAAACCGACATGCACTAACCATCATATTCTCTGGATTATCAACCAATCAAATGGTACAATTGATGTATTTGAAGTGTATTTTTCTGTTGAAAGGAACCGGATATACCGTTCATATGGCTGGACCAGTGGACCCTCGCCAGAGACTGAAGGATAGTCTGAGTGAGGTCCCCAGCTCTCTTCAACTCGACTACATCATCAACATCAAAAAGGCAAAATGTGTCTGCATATTGGACCGCATCCAGTCAGAAAGATTACTGCCATGTGGGTTTGAAGAAGAACAAATCAGACGAGATAATTTCTTATCATTACTTCATTTCCACACAAATCAAAAAGAGAAAGCTTCAGAAATAAATTCTAGAGTTTGTGAAAATGTCCCAACTAATATAACAGCATTAGTGAATAAAACCATAATGAAAATGGCGACTGGACATGAGCATGCCTCCCAAGAAGCCGTCAGAGAGCTGGATAAATTGAGAGGACGAGATGACTACAAACAGTTACTAGCTGTAGCCACAGCAGAGCAGGCATACTGCATGTCTCGCATAGGGCCTCACCTCTATGTCAAAGCAATTGATCTTTATGAAAATGCTCTTAATGAATGTCCTGACCAGTACCTGTGGAAATTCGGTTGTGCGTTAACTTGCAGGAGATGCTTAGGGATGCCTAAATGTATTGAGAACATGACACCAGAAAGAGTTAAAGTGTTTTGCGAAAGAGCCGTACGATATCTTTCGGAAATTACTATCAACTGCAAGAAGCAACTTCTGATTGCAAAAGCGTTTGTGGAGTTGGGTGACCTGTACCTAAAACTGGAGAAGCCTGCTTACCCTTTAACTCAGCAGATTGTTGACCAAGTCATAATAGAAGGTCTATCATTGACTGCAGAGCAATGCCTTGATACAGCCCTTGAAACAATCAAAGAGGCCTCTCTCGAAGATGACTTCGTTCTTGGAAGATGTGGCAAACTTCTGCCTTTGGTCAGACACCACTCTCCATATCTTCAAACTTTACAAGACTGTCACGAGTTACTTAAGAAAGCATATGCAATCCGACGTACTCCATTCATTTGTGATAATCTAGCAAAGATATTACTCAAATTGGCAGAGCAGAGCTTTGGCGGTGGTGGTGATGGTGGTGGACGTGCACGTGGTCGCGGTCGTGGTCGTGGTCGTGGTCGTGGTCGTGGTCGTGGGAAGTATGGATATAGAGAGCATCGGGATCACATAGGAGGCAATGAACTGTCAAACAGAGATCAATATGATAGAAGCGGGGGCACCTGCAGAGGTGGTTACATGGGGGAACCTCAGAGTGCACTTGTCCTAAAGATGCAAGGGAGCAGTGATCAACATCTCATGTCTGACAGTGACACAACTGATCTGACTTCTGAGATTGCGGAACTCTCATTCCACAACAACCATTCACAACGAAACAACCCGCGAAGAGGAGGGTCTCCTAGGAAGCTTTCGAAATTCCTCAATTCTCCAAAACACTTAACAAAAAAACCTGGTCACCCACGTCTGACCGAGGCTGTATGCTATCTTCAAGAATCAGTTGCTATGACGAAGGAATGCAATCTCACCGCCATCTATGACTTAGGATTAAACTATAGGCGACTTGATCAGGTGGAAACTGCAGTGGAGCAGTTTCGCAAGATCATCTCTGATCCCAATGCTTCACCTTATTACAAGAGTACTGCCTATGAACAGATTGGCTTTTGTCTGTTGGAGATGAGTAAAGGAAGACAATATAGTGACGTGGAAAAACTGAACTTCAGAGAGGAGAGCAAGATGATGATGAGGCGATCCATAGAACAGACAGTCCTTCTTGTCGCTCGGATTCCCACAATGGGAAAAGAGGATTTCAACTCATGGCAAGCACTGCCTACTTTGAAACAGCTTCTCACGAACGAGCCCAACCAGCCTGAGAGTATCCAGGAAATAGCTAGAATGTGTGCATTAGTTGGTGCCCACAGAGATTCAATAGAGTTCTATAAAAAACTGCTGCTATTGAAACCAGGTGAACCTACATTACTTTCTGCAGTCATTAAACAATACATGTGTTTACGTGATTTTCACAATGCCCGGTCATGTCTACAACTTCTGTTGTGTACACGTGAAGGAAAACAGATGGCCGACAAAGAACAATATTTAGTTTACCAAGTTTATCTTGGGATTGCTAAACATCTTCTTGACTCAGAGTCAACTCCTACAAGCAAGGATGATATAAGGTCCTGTTTTCAGAGTGCTTTCACACACAGACATGGGCGCACTTCTGGTGAGGATGACGAGGGCTGGGACGTCTTTGTACTTGATGACCCCGGACAGACAGATGCTGAGGCAGCAGCCATCAAGTCATGGTTTGGGGGAACGTGCGGCTTGTCTGTAACTCGGAACACTGATGACGTTCTTGGCTATGAACTTGAATTCACCGCAGAACTAAATGTAATGAATAAAAGCAAATGTTTGGTTGTCCTGTTGGGCAAAGCGACTGCTACCAAACGACTAGAGACTCTTGTTGCTATCTCCCGCACATGTGACGGCTTGGATGTGATAGTTCCCGTACTGACCTGTCCAAGAACAGTTTTGCCGACCTTGAAAGACAAACGTCCAGTAGAGTTATCACCAGACTTTCTGACATGTCAACGTTCTCAACAACTCATGAATATGTTTTTATCTATCCTAAAGCTGAATTATGCCAAATTTGCATGGTTGGATGAAAACAATTAAACATTGAAAAACAATAAAGCCATTTGCAATGACATTTACCTACAGTATCCTGATTTTATCAATGTGTATAGTTTTCGCTCGTACATTTTGCAGCTTTGTGTTCGGTGTTGATGGTAGACGCATAAGATCGAAAGATGCTTGAGCTGTCAAAAGATGACTGTAGGCTGCGCTGTCGACGAGTGTCTGTGGATATCACTGCCAATATATGTCTGTGAATCAAGCAGCAAACAGGTGTCTATGGATATGGCTGCCAAACAGGTGACTGAAATCGGGTTGCCACAATCTGACTGTAGACGGGACTGCAAGTGGGTGTCTTTGGATCGGCCTACCAACATGTGTCTGTGAATCATGAAGCCAGTGGGCGTGTGGGGATATGGCTGCCTGCAGGTGTCTGTGGATCGGGCGGAATGGACTATGAAAGTCATCTTTCGTTCTTCTCAGGGAAATGCGGCACAGTGAGTGGGCTAGTAAATGAAATGTTGACACATTTTGCATAAAGCTATGGTCATTCACTCATAGGGATGAAACGGTAGCCGGGTACTGGAGTATGATTAGGGTAGAGCCACTCCTGGAGTACTCGTGAGCGTTATCTCCCTTGGCATACATGTGTTATACCATTTGAGAGATATGACGTATGGTCATATTGTAAAGTGTCTGGGGACAAATTGAAACCTGTATGTTCGCTTTGTGGCGTACACTTGTCTTTTAAAGGCGGCACCATTTCAACGATGAGAAACCATCGCCAAATGCAAAACAATCGACTCAAAACAATCTTCACCAAGAAGGTCACATAGAGCACACTACACGGGATTGGTGGTAATAAATGCACGTGTTTCATTATTCAACTAAAGGACCTTATCATACCAGGTGTAGTAACTATATAATCATAAGCATACATAATGACGAAAGGGGGATTCGAACCCACGATCATAGGTTTCTGGCGTGCTCAAGGGATGCAACTTCACAGCGATTTGCGGCGCCATTCGATGACTGGGCCGTGTCCGCATTACTGATTAGAAAATAGTGCCATGGTGTCACCGTGGATCACATGTCACGGTTCAGTGCCGCTATGTTCCCATTTGTCAACACTTGCCCCTTTCCGTAACCCGCATTCGTCTTGTCCCGGAATAACACGAATTGGTCACGAATGGCTATGTTCCCCGACTTTATGTCCGGCACCGCTCTGTGATCTCCGGCGGCCGCTATTGTATTGTGTGTGATCATTTGGTGTTCGAGAATTAGTGGCCCACTTATTTTTCGCTCTTATAATGTAATGTTACTCTCCAACTATGTAATGACTTGATGTATGTTGTCTCTCATATGTTCACCACCATATTCTTGTATTGAAAATGTTTTCTATTTATGACTTGCAAACATTAGGGGAATTTATATCTACATTCAGATATTTATCATGTATTTATGGTTATTTTTGTACATAGCTTGTTGTGAATCTTTAATAAAACCGTTGGGTAGTTTATGTTCAGCGCTTTATTTTGATACTTACATCTCCAGTGTAGATATAGAGTTATAGTAGTTTTCCCCGGGTTTAAAAACACACCTTAGCTTCGCCTAGTCTGGTTGTTATGAGTTTAGTTACTAGGCTTTGTAATACTCAGTTTGTCTAGTAATCCGTGGATAACCAACTGTCCCGTGATTTCTAAACTCTTAGTAACTAGTGTTTCCAATACTCTGTTTTCTAGTAATCTGTGGATAACCTACTTTCCCGTGATTAACTAGCTATTTGGAAACCGGGTCCATATCTTGTCAAAGTGTTGTTTAAGCTACCTTTTTACAGCTGTAATACAGTTTGGCTAAAACTTGATTGTATATTTGCGCAGATAGAATTACTTAGTGATCTATGTGAGCGCAGATTTTATTTAATATTTGTCAACTATTAGTACAATTAGTTGTTATTTAATAAACCTGTGAACCTGTTACCATGATTTGTTTATCACTTCATTCGTATTTTATTACACCCCTGATCATTGGAGCACACTTGGATATGTAGTCAACAGTTTAAAATGTCAACATCGAGAACCAGCTGACAGCATAAATACTGAAGGCTAAAGTACTAATTATTGGAACTAAATATAATGTCATCAAAAGAAGAAAACATGTCACAGTTCAGTTTACTCAGTGTGGAACTTTCATGGGAGAAGAATGAATACAATATTGCAATTAACGGAACGTATTTCTTTGCACTTATGGAAATTGCTGAATAATATGGCCAGAAATATATTTTTCAATATGGCTGCCATGGCGGACATATTGAATATCAGATTCGTACCTCTTGTACAAATTTGGCACTCAAGCATGAAACAAGCGTTTGAAGTCACTGCTTCATTTGTCCAGAAGGCAAACATGCCACTACAGAAGTCTTATGATTATAGAAAGTTTTTTGTGGCTTTTACTGACTTTCGGTCAGGTGAGATAAATTTGATTTTCCTTGAGCGAAACTCTTAACACGTAACTAATGTTCAAACTAAACAGGATTGGGTTGGCTAATCTAGTGGTTAAAGCGTTCCCAAGTGTGAAACCCCTGTATTGACCCGTGAAGATCCGGGGTAGAATAGGTCTTCAGCAACACATGCTTGCCCCAAAAGGCGACTATGCTTGTCGTAAGAGGCGACTAACGGGATCGGGTGGTCAGGCTCGCTGACTTGGTTGATGCATGTCATTGCATCCCAAATGCGTGGATCGATGCTCATGATGTCAATCACTGGATTGTCTGGTCCAGACTCGATTATGTACAGACCGCCGTCATATAGCTGGAATATTGCTGAGTGTGGTGTTGAACAACAAACATCAAACCCCTGTATTCTTTACGCCTCTGACCGCTTCCACGGTCCAGTGGATAGAGCGTCCGCCCGAAGAGCGGAAGGTCGGGCTCGATCCCCGGCCGCGTCATTCCAAAAGGCGTTAAAAGATGGTACTTGTTGTTACAATGCCTGGTGCTCGGTATTAAGGGGCTAAAATAAGGACTGGTCGGCTCAGAGACAGTATATTGTGTCTGAGTGGGGTTTTCAAGTTAAACTGCGGCATGGTATCTTAGTGGGATAGCACTATAAATCGATATTAGTCCGGACCAGGACAAGCAGACACATAAACATAATGACATAATAACACCCCACCTTTGTGTCTCCTGTCGTGACATGGATGTTACTATGCTAAAGCGGCATACAAGGAATACCCTTTCAAACCTCCATGAGAAGGATGACCCGTGACCATGTGCATATTTATTATTATCACGTGGCACATTGACGTCACTTGTACTTCTCGCGTGTTTTCGGAACTCGGCTCTGTTCTCTTCAGATCGCATCCCGTCACACTTCCTGGTCACACACCTGATACCATCGGTAAGTCGGTAGCCTCGTGTCAAATACGTCAGCGGTTGTCACAATTAACAGTGGTTGAAAATGGTTTGCTGCTCTGATTTGATAGCAATGTGAATTCTTGGTAAAAGCTTATAGTTCAGTTTCTTGGTAAAGGTGTCTACTTTCGCTTTCGGTGGACTTTATACTTCTGTTGGCGCCGCAACAGAGAATAAATTGAATCGACTCTCAACAAATCAAGGCAGACACAGGGAGATTTACTTGATTTCTATTTAAAAACCTAAGTTGTGTATGTAACTTGAAAACAGGGACCAGTCTGCGAAGTTGCCACTGCTCTTGACTTCAGCCATACATAATTATCCTGTCTCTGGTTCGTTACGGATAACAATGGTAATAATTCTATTAGTGGCACGTGATGTGAACGAACACTAATATAACATTAGTCATCAGTCTATTTAGGTGTTTAAGTTAGAAAGTATTAACTTCTCATAATAGTCGAGATTACCCATTACACATGGTATCTGTGTGCGCACAGGACCGTGTAACTAATAATAATAACAAAGAAACCCTCAGACGCACTGTTATCATTGTCAGTTACACGGTCCTGTGGTGTGCGGCACACTGTGTGTATTACGAGGATGTCCATACACTTCACCTAATGTTCTGGTAAAAGATAGGTAATAGTAATTAGGTCATGTGGGTATGGAAGATCCCACTCTTGAATAGGTTACCAAAAGCTGAACAAATGAATAGAAGATGGCTTTTATTTTAAATGTTTGCATGAACAATGTGTCCCTTCATACACTCTTACAAATAAACAGAGCACTATCAATTATACACTGATCGTGTCCTTTCACACACTGTTACAAATAAATAGAGCACTTTCAATCATACACTAATCGTGTCCTTTCACACACTGTTACAAATAAATAGAGCACTATCAATCATACACTGATCGTGTCCTTTCATACACTGTTACCAATAAATAGAGCACTATCAATCATACACTGGTCGTGTCCTTTCACACACTGTTACAAATAAATAGAGCACTATCAATCATACTCTGATCGTGTCCTTCATACACTCTTGCAAATTGCCCTTTCATACACTGTTACAAATAAATAGAGCACTATCAATCATACACTGATCGTGTCCTTTCATACACTCTTGTAAATTGTCCTTTCATAAACTGTTACAAATAAATAGAGCACTATCAATCATACACTGATCGTGTCCTTTCATACACTCTTCCAAATTGCCCTTTCATACACTGTTACAAATAAATAGAGCACTATCAATCATTCACTGATCGTGTCCTTTCATATACTGTTACCAATAAATAGAGCACTATCAATCATACACTGATCGTGTCCTTTCATAGACTCTTACAAATAAATAGAGCACTATCAATCATACACTGATCGTGTCCTTTCATACACTCTTGCAAATTGTCCTTTCATAAACTGTTACAAATAAATAGGGCACTATCAATCATACACTGATCGTGTCCTTTCATACACTCTTGCAAATTGTCCTTTCATACACTCTTACAAATAAATAGAGCACTATCAATCATACACTGATCGTGTCCTTTCATACACTCTTGCAAATTGTCCTTTCATAAACTGTTACAAATAAATAGAGCACTATCAATCATACACTGATCGTGTCCTTTCATACACTCTTGCAAATTGTCCTTTCATACACTCTTACAAATAAAAAGAGCACTATCAATCATACACTGATCGTGTCCTTTCATACACTGTTACAAAAAATAAAACACTATCAATCAAACACTGATCGTGTCCTTTCATACACTCTTGCAAATTGTCCTTTCATAAACTGTTACACATAAATAGAGCACTATCATTCATACACTGATCGTGTCCTTTCATACACTCTTGCAAATTGTCCTTTTATACACTGTTACAAATAAATAGAGCACTATCAATCATACACTGATCGTGTCCTTTCATACACTCTTGCAAATTGTCCTTTCATACACTGTTACAAACAAATAGAGCACTATCAATCATACACTAATCATGTCCTTTCATACACTCTTACAAATTGTCCTTTCATAAACTGTTACAAATAAATAGAGCACTATCAATCGTACACTAATCATGTCCTTTCATACACTCTTACAAATTGTCCTTTCATACACTCTTACAAATAAATAGAGCACTATCAATCATACACTGATCGTGTCCTTCCATACACTCTTGCAAATTGCCCTTACATACACTGTTACAAATAAATAAGGCAATATCAATCATACACTGATCGTGTCTTTTCATACACTCTTACAAATTGTCCTTTCATACACTGTTACAAATAAAGTGAGCACTATCAATCATACACTAATCGTGTCCTTTCATACACTGTTACAAATAAATAGAGCACTATCAATGATACACTGATCGTGTCCTTTCATACACTCTTACAAATAAATAGAGCACTATCAATCATACACTGATCGTGTCCTTTCATACACTCTTACAAATAAATAGAGCACTATCAATCATACACTGATCGTGTCCTTTCATACACTCTTTCAAATTGTCCTTTCATACACTCTTACAAATAAATAGAGCACTATCAATCATACACTGATCATGTCCTTTCATACACTCTTACAAATAAATAGAGCACTATCAATCATACGCTGATCGTGTCCTTTCATACACTCTTACAAATTGTCCTTTCATACACTGTTACAAATAAATAGAGCACTATCAATCATACACTGATCGTGTCCTTTCATACACTCTTACAAATAAATAGAGCACTATCAATCATACACTGATCGTGTCCTTTCATACACTCTTACAAATAAATAGAGCGCGATCACGCATACACTGATCGTGTCCTTTCATAAACTGTTACAAATAAATAGGGCACTATCAATCATACACTGATCGTGTCCTTTCATACACTGTTACAAATAAATAGAGCACTATCAATCATACACAGATCGTGTCCTTTCATACACTCTTGCAAATTGTCCTTTCATACACTGTTACAAATAAAAAGAGCACTATCAATCATACACTGATCGTGTCCTTCCATACACTCTTACAAATTGTCCTTTCATACACTGTTACAAATAAATGGAGCACTATCAATCATACACTGATCGTGTCCTTCCATACACTCTTGCAAATTGTCCTTTCATACACTGTTACAAATAAATAGAGCACTATCAATCATACACTGATCGTGTCCTTCCATACACTCTTACAAATTGTCCTTTCATACACTGTTACAAATAAATGGAGCACTATCAATCATACACTGATCGTGTCCTTTCATACACTCTTACAAATTGTCCTTTCATACACTGTTACAAATAAACGGAGCACTATCAATCATACACTGATCGTGTCCTTCCATACACTCTTGCAAATTGTCCTTTCATACACTGTTACAAATAAATAGAGCACTATCAATCATACACTGATCATGTCCTTTCATACACTCTTGTAAATTGCCCTTTCATACACTGTTACAAATAAATAGAGCACTATCAATCATACACTGATCGTGTCCTTTCATACACTCTTGCAAATTGTCCTTTCATAAACTGTTACAAATAAATAGAGCACTATCAATCATACACTGATCGTGTCCTTTCATACACTCTTGCAAATTGTCCTTTCATAAACTGTTACAACTAAATAGAGCACTATCAATCATACACTGATCGTGTCCTTTCATACACTCTTGCAAGTTGTCCTTTCATACACTGTTACAAATAAGTAGGGCACTGTCACTCATACACTAGCCATTATTTAAACTAGATTTACAAAATTTAATATGTACAAATTTAATAGTATTACAATATATGGGGCCCCATTTTTGAGAACCACAACGTAAACTAGATGTTATCATGCAACCAAAGATCTTAAATAGATCTGGACAACTAATGTTACCAAGTTTCCCTTGGTAATTATTTACTGAAAATATTGCCTTATTTGCTAGGGATACAAGACAGGTCTTAGCTTCGCTCGAGAATAACTTAGGGTGAATACAAGTCCCAGGTATTTATGTAAAGATGCTGTTTCTATTGGTACTAATTGGTGTACCATCATAAACCATTTTACATACGACCTTAACGGACCACCATTTCTAAACACAACAATCTTAGTTTTATTCAGATTTACTTTCATGCCAGTATGTTCACAAAAACCTTCTTGTACACTTATCTTTCTCTGCAGTTGTGAACAGGTGTCGGACATTGAGGGAGCACAAAATCATTAATAGGAGAGGTAACAGTAATTCCTTGACACCCCTCCCTGTCCATAAAGCTACACACATATTTGTGGAATTAAAACACACATTTGACGGGTGTCAATGTTACAGGTACAACACCTAGATATACCTTTAGGGGTTCTATCACAAGCAGATACATTATTATACATTGATGTGATTCTATCCAACCTTTTCTCTTAATCCCAACTTCACACAAAGAGTGCAGGAAAACACCATCAAATGCATTGGAAAAGTCAATGAAGAGGAAGTAAAATCTGCCTCTATTCTTACCAGTGTATTTCTGAACGACAGCCTGTAATGGAGTAATAAGCCCTAAAACCAGCTTGTTGTTCATTAATGATATCATAATTCTCACACCAACTCTGTAGACGGCTGTTCAAAATATACGTAAATACTTTTTAGGTTGAGTCCATGAGAGAAATAGTTGTTTAGGACAGACAGACTTGAATAGAGGAAATCTACCACTATCAAAACTGTGATTAAAGAGGTGCGTATGATAAGGTACAGTAAGATGTTTAGAAGCTTTTAACAATTCAGCAGCTACACCTAACATTGTGAGTATGTATACCAAAGGTACGACAAAGTTCGGCTGACATAATGCCACAGTTACTATGCGTTAAATTATCCCTTGACATTCTGGGCATATCAAACACATCGCAAGGATGGTCATCGATATCATGTATGTCTTCAACTGTATCATCAGGAATATAGTCAAGAAACATTTCCCCTTTGAGTTCAAATCACCCCCT